AAAGGCAAACGGCACAATCGAGAAATTCAAAGCACGCTGGGTCGTGCGTGGATTCGACCAGGAGCACGGACGGGACTTCACCAAGACATTCGCCCCGGTCAGCCGACATACCTCACTCCGAATTCTCCTCGCGATCGCCGCTATGAAGAAGAAGAAACTGCGGCAAATCGATGTCGCCAACGCGTTCCTCTACACACCCGTCGACGCCGAAATCTTCGTCGAGCTCCCACACGGTACCCACGGGGAACCTAACCAGGTTTGCCAGCTGGTGAAATCGCTCTACGGAATCAAACAAGTCTCGCGGCTTTGGCAACAACACCTACACACTCGCCTCACTCGCATCGGATTCCGCCAACTGCCTCACGACCAAGGGATGTATCGACTCACCAAAAACGCCGATTACATCTTGCTGATCGTCTACGTCAACGACCTACTCTACATTGGCTCCACTGACGATGTCACCACCTGGTTCGAAGGGGAGCTGCAGAGGGACCTCACACTCACGGTCTCCTCTACCGTCACTCAGTACCTCGGACTCAACATCCGCGAAGAAGAGAACGCGCTCTATCTCAGCGCCGAAAAGTATGCCGACACTATCGCCAAACGCTTCGCGCTCACACCTACTACTATCTCCACGCCATACCGCTACACGGCAGGGAACGATAAGGGAGGTCCCGCTCTACTCAAAACCGCCGGAACACGCGACTACCAGAGAAAGCTGGGCTGCCTTCTCTTCGCAGCCGTCACCTGCCGCCCAGATCTGTCCTACTCCGCAAGTCAACTCGCTACCTATCTTAAAAGGCCTGAAGCAGAACATCTGGCGGAGCTCGACCGCGCACTCCACTACTTCGTAAGCACCTCAACGATCGGTCTGACATACCACAATAATACAACTACACCGACGAAACTAATCGGCTACGTCGATGCCGATCACGCCGGCGACTCAGACAACAGGCGCTCCCGCACTGGCTACATCTACCGCCTCGAACCTATCGGACATCTCCTGGCAATCGAGCAAGCAGGAACTAATCGCTCTCTCTTCAGCTGAAGCAGAATATATCGCACTCTGCTCAGCCACCAAGGAAGGACTCTACCTTCGCGAGCTGCTGGAAGAAGCGAAATTAGCCGAGTTACCCAACTTCACTCTGTTCTGCGACAACCAATCTGCAATTCGCATCGCCAACAAAAGCGGATTCGCGAACAGAACGAAGCATATCGCCCTGCGATATTTCTTCGTGAAGGACGAGATCGAGAAAGGGAAACTCGAACTATCCTACTGTCCCACGTCCGAGATGGCAGCCGACTACTTGACCAAGAAGCTCGGAAAACAGAAGTTCGAGTACTGCATGCTGCTGACTGGACAAAGCCACGTCACCATCAGCGACACTCCAGAAGCGAAGGGGAGTGTTGGGAACAAATACCGTCACCCCCCGGATATACCCCCATGGGGGGCTATAATATAACATGTTTTTTTGAGGGGGTGGGCTTATAATATAGTAAATTTATAAGCGCCGGCGTTTATAATTTGTCAAATTTGAAATTTGTTTTTTAATATACCAAATCGAAGCATTCTCAAACGCGGATTCACCTGGGTCGAGAACGTTCGAAACTGTGCATGCATTGCGTGTGAAACAGCCAACAAGGCGTGGCTTCACGCCTTCCACGCCTTGTTGGCCAGGCCAGGTTCATCGAACGTGAACCTGGCCCATGCCAGTGCACACGTACCTCGCATCACAGCGGCCCAATCAGGGTTGCATGCGATCGTGGGCACGTCGTGGTTCAGCCACGGTGTGCCCATCAACAGCAAAATTCCCCGCCACCGAGGCAAGGAGCTGCCCAGCTCAGCTCCTCTGCGGGGAATCTTGACTGGGGCCACCCTTTTCCCGCAGAGGAGGCCGGGCCGCGAAAATGAAGGGGTCTCGGGCGAGGGCTTCATACAGCCCTCATTCTCGACTTTTGCCTTCAGTTTCTTTGTTCGTTTGGCCTGCCGTGGCCATGGCAGGCCTTCCAGGCACGCATTTCTTGTTCCGCCGCCATCCTGCTGCCAGAGAAAACACCCGCCGAGACACCTGTGACTACTCTCAATGGCAGTCGCGCCCTGCGCCCGTCCCTCCGTGTCAACCAGTAGCTCCTCCCGTTCCTCCCACTCCCCCAACTCCTCCTGCACCTCCCGCTCCCCCGGCGCCTCCGGTTCCTCCAGCTCCTCCGTCCCCTCCTGACCCGCCTGTGTTTTGTGCTCCACGTCAGGGGGTCCTGCAGCTTCTCCTCCCTCCTGGCTACTCGGCGTTTGACGCGTACCTGTCCGAGCCCGACCGCGCCGGTGGCGCATCGTCTTCCTCCGCACCGTCGCCACGCTGGGGAGCCCCGGCTGATTGCCCGTTGGACGAATCCGCGACTGGTGCGGAGGATGACGTGGAGTTTTGGGCTGCCGACGGTCTTCCAGAGCACCTGCCTATTCCCACCTTCCCCCCCCCCAATAAGAAACGGCCCCACCCTTCTCGCGAGAATCGCGATGCCCGTCCTCCCTCCCCCAGGCACAAGCCTTCAAGTCACAAGCGGCACTCTTACACATCGCAGGAGAAACTGCAGTGGATTCTCAAGCTTGAGTCCGGGCACATGAGCGTGCGGCAGATGTCTCGCCAAACCGGCATCTCCCGAAGGTCACTCGCAGAATGGAAGACCCGGAAGGCTGACCTGGAGGGCGCGCATGCTGCTCGCAAGCGTCTTCATGGGCGCGGAAGGAGCTCGCGGTCTCGATTGCTCGCCTACAGAAGTGGTCGCATGAGGTGATGAAAGAATTGCACCCACAGGTAAAGTGGTCCGGCTCGCAGCGGTGGACTGAGCGGTTTCGCCGCCGTTGGAATCTGACAACCCGAGCGAAGACCAGGGTCGGCCAGAAGCTTGCTGCCAGTGAGTTTTGTGGGAAATGGTTGCAGTTTAATGTGTACTGCTTTGTGTTGTTTGTCTCTTTATGTTTCACGGTTGAATTTTAACGCGTCATTAATACTCTCTTCTCTCTTTCCCTCCCACCCGTACTCCCAGACTGCGAGACTGACGTCAGGAATTTCTGGAAGTTCGTGCGTCACACCCGCCGCCAATACAAGATTGACCCGCAGTGGATAATAAACGCGGACCAGACACCACTGTGGCTCGAGATGCCTGCCGAACGCACAGTCGAGGAGGTGGGTCTGCGCTCTGTGCCTATCCGCAGCGGCGGCTATCAGAAGGAGCGAGTTACGGTGATGCTCGCCTGCACTGCCAGCGGTGAGAAGCTGAAGCCGTGGGTCTTCTTCAAACGGAAGACCCTGCCTAAAGGGGATTTCCCTTCAGGTGAGCATTAACACCCACTGCTGCATGTTTTTTTTTTTCTATGTCTACTGATGTTGTACGTGCGTTTATGGCTGTGCAGATGTTACGGTGTCCGTCCATCCCAACGGTTGGATGGACGCGGACGGAGTCATCGAGTGGCTCGACGGGGCAGTGAAGCCGTTCGTCCACCCCAAGTTCGGAGTGAGGCCCCGCAAAGCGATGCTCGTCTTGGATTCGTACCGCGGGCACCTGACTGCGGAGGTGAAGAAGAAGTTCGGGGAGCTGAACATCGTCCCTGCCGTTATCCCAGCTGGCTGCACCTCGGAGATTCAACCTCTGGACGTCGCGGTGAATCGCTCCTTCAAGGCATCCGTTCGCCAGCTCTACCAGGAGTGGTTCGAGAGCGAGGGGGTCGACACCTTGACAAAGAAAGGTGAGAGAGGCAGGCCATGCGTGTGCTGCTTTAACAGTTTGTAGCGGTGGCTGACTTTTGATTGTTTAAATTTTATGGCAGGCAACATCAAGAAGCCACCACCCGAGCTAACGCTCAAGTGGATATCAGCGGCTTGGAAGGCCGTGCCCAGGGACTTGATTCAACGGGCTTTCCTCACCTGTGGCATTAGTAACGCCCTGGATGGGTCCCAGGACAAGATGTGCCTGCAACACAGGCGCGACGAGCTTGAGGGCGACGAAATAGACATCGACGACGACATTGCAGCAGATGGCTTTTTCTGCAACAACGTAGAAGAACCAGAGTCGGACTCTGAGGCCGACCCGGATGATCCTACCGCAGCTGATGACTAGATTACGTAGATCTAGAAATTGTTGTAGCCTGTGAGACTCGTAGGTAGATTTAGAACTGTAATTAGAAAAAACTTTAGACAAATTGACTTTGTAATTAATTAGAAGAAAATATACAATGTTAATGTGGTTAGTGAAGCGTGTAGAATTTTTTTTTAAAAAAAAAGTGGCAGTTATAATGTGTAAGGTACAGGTATGCGGCTATAATCCGTACGACTCTAGGGTATGCGCTTATAATCGAGGAGGGGATATAAGCGCCATATGCCAATTAGAAGCGCCAGGCGCTTATCCTAGGGTGGCGCTTATATCCGGGGGGTGACGGTAGTCTTAAGCGCCTCTGTCGTGTCGAAACTTCAAGACACAAGCGAAGCAGCGCAAATCGAAGCACCAGCGAGTCAACCCTCAGAAGTTGATATAACCGCTGGAGGTTACGAGAAAGTCAAAGGTCAGCAACCTTTGACCTGACAAATGCAGCGCGACAGCAAGGACACACAACTGACTCGACATTGAGCAGTTGCCCGAGTCGCACTGTATCGAACTGCAACAGTATAGTTACAATTATGTCTCTTCATATTCTCTGTACTCATATATATGTCCTTGTATCTCTTTGCTTTAATCAACTAACTTTGCCGTCACATCTAGCGCAAGGTGGTTCAAGGACTTTATTAAAAAACGCTTCCGCTACTACATCATTTACTCAGACTTTAACTCTACTAAAAGATCCTAGGGCGTTCGGCCCAACAAAACAAACACAAGAGAGGATAATGTACAAGGAACAAACATAAGTGGATGGTTGGTATAGTAACAATAGCATCAACCTTTTCGTAAATGCCGAACATGTGGCAGGGCTGTTAAATTACCATCCACCTCTAAGTCACCTATTCTAAACCTTAGACTCCTAAAAACCACTCCAGAAACCTCTCCCTCGTATAACAATCCAAAATCTCGGTAAGAAAGTGAATGGATGCCATAGCAATTCCACACATGGGGCAGAGACGTGAACCAGAAGCATGGCAGCCAAAGGTGATCAACCCGATCCTTCGAGATGCTTTGTAGAAATTGAAGTTCTAATGCCACTGGGTTGGTCGAGGGCCCGACGAGCGTGATTGTATAGCTGAGCTCCACACGAGAGCTGAACCTGCAATCAATACCGACAGAATTAAATAGGACGGATGAGGAGCACCAGGGGAGGCAGGTGAGAATTCAAAGTAGACAAGACAACCTGCTGATGGGACAGGGGAAAGCAAAAGCCCAACTTATCATGGCGAATGACTGTAGCTCGGTGAAATTCACTCTAGCTCACTGTCACTGTAGCTCGCGCCAACTTATTGTAGCTCACAAAGACCCACTGTAGCTTGCTCCAACCTACTGTAGCTTGCAAAGCCCCACTGTAGCTTGCTCCAACCTACTGTAGCTTGCAAAGCCTCACTGTAGCTTGCTCCAACCTACTGTAGCCTCACTGTAGCTCGCTCCAACCTACTGTAGCCTCACTGTAGCTCGCTCCAACCAACTGTAGCTTGCAAAGCCTCACTGTCTGTAGCTCGCTCCAACCTACTGTGGCTCATTCAACTTACCGTAACTCGCTGACGTACGCCCCGCCATACACCACTCCATCGCTTGCAAACTCAGCCCCGTATTTCGGTGCGGGAAATCGGGGTGGAAGAGAGGCGTCCCCCACAGGGTCCCTGTGAGCCGCCGCCATCCTCCCTTCCGCTACGATCCACCACTCCATCTCTGCCGGCCACAGGTACGCCTTCTGGCGGGCCAGCGACGGCAAGTCGATGTTGGTGCCAGGCTGGCAGCTGTTTACAGAATATACAGTCGGTGCTGTGCTCTCCCATTCAGTGCGAAACCAGAACAGCTGGAGAGGAGTGGGGGTTGAGGTGGGAAAGGGAGGGGAGGCACAGGGAATCGGTTGTTGGAAGAGAGGAGTCACCCACAGGGTCCCCAAAAGGAGGAGGAAAGGAGCCGCTGCCATCTCCTCTTCTGCTACGATCCACCACTCCATCTCTGCCGGCCACAGGTAGGCCTTCTGGCGGGCGAGAGATGGCAGGTGGAGGTTGGTGCCAGGCTGGCAGCTGTTCACCGAGTAGACAGTCGGTGCAATGCTCTCCCAGTCAGAGGCAAACCGGAAGAGCTGGAGAGAGGGGGGGGAGTGGGGTGGAAAAAGCTGAAGGTACGACGGACCTGGGGGAAAGGGAGAGGGAAGGGGAGGGGGTCAGGGTATGGGGGGTTATGGGGAGGGGAGAGGGGGGGGGGGGGGGTGGGGGGTGGGTTGAATGAAAACAGGGGCCCTTGTTACCCACCTATTTCTGAAAGACAAGGGATACAGGAGACAGGGACACTTCCTAACAACCTTTTTACAAACCTCTCACAACCCACCTATCCACGTACCCACACAGCCAGCCAACTCACCTGTTCCGCTTTTTTTGTGCTCTTCACTTGTACCCCTCCCGTCACTGCTGCTGGGCTCCTGGGCCGCTCTACCATGAGAGAGAGAGGAATATTTTCAACATTACCCCCCACGGTCAGCTGAACTAAGATTCCCGGGCAGGATTCGGAGGAGTCTGAAAGTACGAGGGAGGCTAATATGCCTGAACCGTGCAGGAAGGAGGTGAGAAAGGCTGTGTGGGAGAGGGGAGAGACGGAAAGGAGAAAGAGGCAGTTTTTGGAATGCTTTGAAACCAAGACGCCCGTTCCGTGCAGGAAGGAGGTCAGAAAGGCTGTGTGGGAGAGGGGGGGGGGAAGGGGAGAGAGTTTTGGGATGTACTGGAAGTGTGGGTGTACGAGGGAGACCAAGATGCCTGACCCCGTGGGAAGGAGGTCAGAAAGACTGCGTAGGTGAGGAGGTTGAAATAGCGCGAGGGAGCGTAGAACGGCGCAGAGGAGCGTGAAATGGTGCGGAAACAAGCACGTACTTTGGGCTGTTGTGGTTGTGAAGAATAAGGCGAGAAGGGATGACGCTGCCAGGGAACAATTGCACACGCAAGAATGGGGGTTGGAGGAAGGAAAGGGAAGTATGAGTATTAGGGTGAGAGGCTACGGATAATGGAAGGAAGAATAGAAAGGTCAGGCGAAAGGGAGCAAACGGAAGAGAGCCAGGACGAGGGGGCTACGGGTGCGTAGACGCGCGAAAAGTGGACGTTGACTACTGAGTTTTGAGATTCTCAAAAGTGGACGTTGACTACTGAGTTTTGAGATTCTCAAAAGTGGACGTTGACTACTGAGTTTTGAGATTCTCAAAAGTGGACGTTGACTACTGAGTTTTGAGATTCTCAAAAGTGGACGTTGACTACTGAGTTTTGAGATTCTCAAAAGTGGACGTTGACTACTGAGTTATGAGATTCTCAAAAGTGGACGTTGACTTCTGGCAAGTGGAAGAAATGCGATGCTATTGAAACGTGAGAGTGAAGGTTGTGTTTTGCACCAACTAGGAACGCTCAGCACCTGCAAGCAATCTGTTGAGCCGTACTAGTGAAACCGTTCGTCGTGTAAGGAGCTCGCACATGTTGACTCAAAACTGTTTGAGAAGTATTTTAACGGAATAAACGCTTCTAACGTGTGCCAGATTCTCCAGATTCCACTATTTCTAACCCTAAGTTACGTTGCGCACGCTACTTGCAAACCGGGAATTCCTGAAACCAGGACATATGCAGTGTCTTCTGAAGCCTCATCGCCCACCCAGACCAGAAAGACGTCCTGGATGCGACCTGTATGTTGGGGAAGGTAGGTTCAGGTCGGCTCGGCTTTGTGCGGCTGCATTCTGCTGCCAGTACAGTAGGTGGAACTTGCAGTCCAGTCCAGTCTCATGTCTTTCAACCATCTGCGATTTCGTCTTGAGAACGTGTCGTTTCGCTCTGTGGCTGCGTGTCAATTGTTTTGAACCCTCTTTGCGAAGCAAGGGGGGGGAGGGTGCGAACGTATCGCGATACAAGCGAATCCGTTCTTGGACAGAACATATGTTCGAAGTGCGAAGTTGCAAAACCGAATTCGTAATTCACAAATCATGAAATTTCAGCGATTTGCAGTCCTGCCCCTCCGAGCCCTTGGAAATTTCATTTTGGTTGATCAGTTGAAATGAAGAGTACGTGATTGCAAATCTGTTACGGGTGCAATGAATCGAGGTAGCGAGAATTGCACTAAGGTGTCAAACGAGTACAAAATGTGAGCGAAGGCATGAGCGAGCATTTATACGCGAAACATGCAAAACGGTAACGCGGTGCGTGCGATCTTGCTAGTGCTACGCTGGAGCGAGGCTCGGGCTAGTCCCGAAGCGTAGGCCGATACGGCCATGCCAGCAGTGCGAGGTTTGGCAAAACAGTGCGCGCGAAGTCGGCGAAGTTCCGTTAGCAGTAACGGGCGAACAGTCGGCTGTTGCTGTACGCGATGTAGTCGGCTCCGTAAGGAATGCCTGAGAAAATTCCTTACACTACCCCCCCCCCCTTAAGAAGCCCCCTCCGCTACGCGAGTGCGTGTATATCGCGGAATCCCCGGCTTCTCAAGTACACTTGCAGGGCAGGGTGATTTTCGATGTTGCTCAGGGGCACCCAGCTATCTTCAGTTGGCGTGCGGTCTTTCCAGCGAACGAGGAATTCAATCCTCCTGATTCCCGTGGGGTGGCGGATCCGATGGCTCAAAAATTTTTCGGGCTCGATGATCGGCTCTGATGCAGGGCGAGTCATTGATTGTGGCCGGTGACGCGGCAGTTGACTCGTGGTCGGGATGTATGGGCGAAGTAGGCTGACGTGGAACGAAGGGCTGATGTACCAGTCAATTGGCAACAGTAGGTGCGCGGTGACGGGTGTGATCATGTGACTGATTTGGAATGGTCCACAGTAGCGCGGTCGTAATTTTGGTACGTCGGGCAGTCGCAGATTTTGCGTGTCGAGTAGCACGTAATCTCCAGATTGATACGTGACGGGGCGGCGGTGGCGATCAGCGTTGCGCTTAGCGATGACGTTGGCCTTTTTTATTGCTTCGGCGGCTCTGGCGCGGGCAGCTTGCAGGATTTCGGCGAATTGTTGTGCGCGTGGCGTTGGGTTGTCCGGACTCGGCGTCATGGGCACTGTGGGGTTCTGCCCATAGTTCAGGTAGAACGGGGACTGCTGCGTCGTGGCTGATGTGGCGTTGTTGTACGCGAACTCGATCAGCGGCAGCTGCTGCTCCCAGGTCGTGGGGTCGTCGCACGTGGCACGAATCAACTGCTCCATCGTCTGATTCGTCCGCTCCGTTTGGCCGTCGGTCTCGGGGTGGTACGACGAACTGAACTGTAGCCTGGTCCCGAACTGCTCCCAGAGGTTCTTCCAGAAGTTGCTGGTAAACTTCGTGTCCCTGTCGCTGATAATTGCTGCTGGTATCCCGTGCAGACGAACAACGGCTGCGATGAACAGGCGAGCGGTCTCTTCGGCTGAGATCGACTTTTTGCACGCAGCGAAGTGTGCCATCTTCGTCAACCTATCCACGACGACCATCACCGCGTCGTTACCCCCAGGGTTCGAAGGTAACCCTGTGACGAAGTCCATGGTTACTTGCTGCCAGGCGCGTTCGGGCGGTGGGATCGGCTGCAATTGACCCGCCTTCCGCTTCCTTGAACTCTTCATCACCTGACACGTCGGGCACGAGCCCACGTGCTGCTGTACGTCGGTCAACAGCTCCGGCCAGTAATAGTACCGCTGCAGTTGCTGTCGTGTTTTTTCTACCCCGAAATGTCCCGAGGTAATCCCGTCGTGTGCCTCCTGCAGTAGCAGCTCCCTCAGTAGTGAGTACGCGGGTACCCAAATGCGGTTGGTGCCTGTTTTTACGTAATAAACTCCTTTTGCTTCTGCCAGTTGCTGTGAATTTCCGGTCGTGAAAAATGGGTCGGTGCGGTATCCGTGGGTGAATAGGCCAGTTAAAAGCGGGTTGGTCTGGGCGAGTAGGATGGCGTGGAGTTGGGCGGTGGGGCGGGTGAGAGCGTCGGCGATGTTGGATGCTCCTTTTTTGTACGTGACGGTGTAGTGAAAATTGGACTCGAGATAGTCCAACCAGCGAATCTGTCGTGGGTTGAGATTCGGTTGGGCGCGAAGGTACTGTAGCGAGCGGTGGTCTGTCCGTACTGTCACGTCGGCACCAGTCAGGTAACATCGCCAAACTTTGAACGCGTGCACGATCGCTAGCATCTCGCGGTCGTGTATCGGGTAGTTACGTTCGGGCGGGTGTAACTTGCGGGACTCGTACGCGATTGGCTGGAGGCCATTCCCGAAATCCTGCAACAGTACTGCTCCCACAGCGATGTCACTTGCGTCGGTGACGAGCTCGAACGGACGGTGGGGATCTGCAATGTGAAGGACGGGCGGGGAGCACAAAATATTTTTGAGGGCCGAGAAGGCAGCTTGCTCTTTCTCCCCCCACGTGTACTCAACCCCCTTCCTCAGCAGGTCAGTCAACGGGGCAGTCAGTTTCGCCATGTCGGGGACGAACCGGCGCACGTAGTTGACGAACCCCAGGAAACTCTGCAACTCGGTCAAGTTGGTCGGCGCGTGCCAAGCCTGAATCGTCGCAATTTTCTTCGGGTCTATTTCCACTCCTGCAGCTGAAATAACATGTCCCAAAAACTCCAGGCGGTCCTGTAAAAACTCACACTTAGATGCTTTGGTCAGTAGGCGGTTCTCACTCAGGATTTTAAAAACTGCTTCGATGTCTTGTAAGTGCTGTGCTCTGTCAGGGCTGTAAATCAGTATGTCGTCCAGATAAACGATGACGCACTTATCTAAAAGCGGGCGGAATGCTTCGTTCATGGTCATTTGGAAAGTGGCGGGGGCGTTGGTCAGTCCGAATGGCATGACGGTGTATTCGAAGGATCCGTAGCGTGTTCGGAATGCGGTTTTAGGGCAGTCGGGTGGGTTGACGCGGATTTGGTGGTAGCCTCCTCGGAGGTCGATTTTCGAGAAAACCCGGGCTGTGCGCAGTTGGTCGATCAGTTCGTCGGCTCGTGGGATGGGGTAACGGGATTTGATGGTAACCCTGTTCAGTGCCCTGTAGTCGATGCACATGCGAAAACCCCCGTCCTTTTTCGGTGTGAACAGTATTGGTGCGGCGAAAGGCGACGAACTAGGGCGAATGAATTCCTTTTCTAGCAGGTAATCGAGTTGCTTCCTTAGTTCGTCTAGTTCGGGTTGGGTCAGTCGGAACTGTCGCTGTACTGTTGGCTGTGCCCCCGGTTCCAGTTCTATCCTGTGATCGTGCGGTCGCTGAGGTGGCAGTCCCGTCGGCAGGTCATCCGGGAAAATGTCACTGTACTGTTGTAACAGTGCCGCCAGGTCACTCGGTACGTCGGTCAGCAGTTTCTGTAAATCGCCTCCCTTGTCTGCTGCCTCGGCTTCCCGAATGTCAACCGCGTACACGTCGGCTCCGGCCGCAACAGCGCGTTTCATCGTGATCGCGTTGACACGCACCGACGAAGACTCAGGCGAGCCCCAGCGAGGTAAGGCGATGCTGTTACCGTTCACTCGCACAGTGCAGTCACCCGTCGTCCAGTCAATTCGCGGGTTGTGTCGTCGCAGCCAATCACGCCCGAGTAAAATGTCGGTTCCGTCGAGGGTCGTTGCGAGCATTTCCTGACTAAACGTGAAGTTACCCCCGCATCGAATCCGAACTCGGTCTACGCGTTCCCGTATTGCCAGCGGCGTGCCGTCTACCAGTCGTGCGTCGATCTCAGGTAAGCATCGGTCCAGTGGCAGTCGCAGTTTTCGTGCTGTAGCAGTGTTAATGAGGCTGTGGCTGGCTCCCCCATCTACGAAGATTTTAACTAAGTCCGTCCCAATTTTCCCACTGAGCAGTATAGGGCTATCTACCGTGGTACCCTCCTTATTCGGCCGGGTGTGGTCGATTGCGTGAACCGGCACAATCACTCGGTGAGGGTCGGTTGGGTCGGGCGAGCGGCGTGACCTGTCAGTAGAGGGCCCGTCTGCTACTGACTTCCAGCGTTTCCCTGCTGCTTGGTCTGTGTCTGCTGCTCAGCTTCCCCCTTTCCCTTAGCGTTTTCCGGGCATTCGCTCTTGCGATGTCCCGGCCGATTGCACGCAAAGCAGCGCCCTTTGAACGGTGCGGCAGCGGCATTTGCGGCGACGGCGCGTATCGTGGCGCTCTCGTTCGTCCCACGAGGCCGATGTCCCCAGGTGTTGTTTCCGTAGGACCCCGGTCTCGGTCGGCGAAAGAAGTCGAGCTTCTCCGCCATAGCGAGAATTTCCTGAAACTCAGTGACGCCGCGAAGCTGGATTTCCTGAGCGATGTCCTGCTTCAGGCCGCCGATGTAGCGGTCGATGCGTTCGCTCTCATGCATGTAGCCCACCTGCTCGCATAGCGCCAGAAATCCGCTCGTGTAATCCTGGACGGAACCGAGTTGGCGCCAAGTGCGGAGCTTCTGTCGCGCCGAGATCGAGGCCGCGATTGGCTCAAATCGAGCGCGCAGACCTGCGCACCACGCGTCCCACGTGCGATACTGGGGCACCTCCACGAAATACGACGGCGCCCAGGGTCCGGTTTGTCCTTCCCGTGTCGGTAGTGTCGCGTAGTCGGTCGGCTTCGTGACGATGACGCGCCACCAGTCCATGGCGGGTCCTCGCAGCAACGACACGGCGTATCGAATCTTCGCCGAGTCCTCCGAGACGTAGTTGGCGTCGAAGAAAACATTCATTGTGAATAACCACGCCTGAACGGTAGGACCACCCCGTTGACTCGGGTCAAAGCATGGCGGGCGCTGCGGTTTCAGCGGCATCGGTGACGGCAGTCCCGAATCGTGGGTTGGTGCCGAAATCGTGACGCGAGGCTGACTTGGGGCCGCAGGCGTCGCTCTGGGGTGTGTCGTGCCGTGGTCGTCGTCTCCGTCGGGGCGGACGACGCCATCACTGGCCGCGCTCGCGGGTTGCCCCACACTCCCGTGTTGTGATGTTGAGGGTGCAGGTTGAATCGGAGTGCCAGGTGCTTGGGATTGTGCTCTCATGAGGTCATTTTGCAGTGATGAGCGTTCTGCCGTCAATGCCGCGATTTCCTCGGAGCTTTCGTGCAGTTGTCGCAGCAGATCGTTCAAACGCTCCTGCGTGAGAGTGGTGACGTCGATGTTTTCGGCCATGACGAAGGGCGTCGGCTCGTCTTAGTCTAGGCGCGGTCGTGGCTGCACGCGTTTACGAGAGAACGCGAGGACAGCGGCTCCTAGGGGCTAAGGTGCGTGAGTCCCTTCGAGTGAAAAATCAAAAGTTGATTTCCTGGTGTGCGGAGATGCGCGGTCCGAAAGAAAGGGGCTCTGATAACCAAGTGTTACGGGTGCAATGAATCGAGGTAGCGAGAATTGCACTAAGGTGTCAAACGAGTACAAAATGTGAGCGAAGGCATGAGCGAGCATTTATACGCGAAACATGCAAAACGGTAACGCGGTGCGTGCGATCTTGCTAGTGCTACGCTGGAGCGAGGCTCGGGCTAGTCCCGAAGCGTAGGCCGATACGGCCATGCCAGCAGTGCGAGGTTTGGCAAAACAGTGCGCGCGAAGTCGGCGAAGTTCCGTTAGCAGTAACGGGCGAACAGTCGGCTGTTGCTGTACGCGATGTAGTCGGCTCCGTAAGGAATGCCTGAGAAAATTCCTTACAAAATCCATCATTTGACCTGAGTTCCTTACGCATTTCGGCGTGGGACTATCGTTAGCTTACACGATTCCTGTTCGAAACCAGGAGGAGCGTTTCTTCCGCGAGCTTCGCGAGTGTTTTCATTTCAAACTGTTTCGTCGCCTATTGCTGAGTATCGCCGCCTCGATTAATAGTTGACCATGGCGGATCTCAAGTCCTTGAAGCTGCGAGCAGGAATCTGCAAGCGGTTACTGAAAGAGTTGAAGTCATATGAGAAAGAAGTAGAGAAGGATGCTGCGAGAGTAGAGGAGATGAAGGCTAGCGGTGCAGATTCGCACGACATTAAACAACAGGCACGGAGTTTCGTTTTTCTTATACGCAGCTTGCTCCATTTATTGAAACTGCCAGTTGCTAAAGCTCGTGGTTGTGGTCGTGCTCCCATGCAGGAAAACGTTCTCGCCGAATCACGTATGATGGTCCCTGATTGTCGCAAGCGACTAGAAACAGCCTACTACGACCTCGAATCCACAGTGGTGAGTGCGATTGTGCGATTGTGGGGCTGTCCTTCTTTTGAGTCGACTCAAAACATGGTGCCTGATTGTCGCAAGCGACTAGAAGCAGCCTACTACGACCTTGAATCCACAGTGGTGAGTGCAATTGTGGAACTGTCCTTCAAAGGTTACCAAAATGCGGACGTGCCAAATGGTTTTTTTTAGGTACGTCCCGGTTTGGTAAGTTTGGTCTAGTACGCCAGGGTTTCCCTATGGTGACCCTCAGTGACCTTGGGTCCAATGTGCATCGAGCGTACCACATTTGTCCCCATTGTCGCATCGAGCTTTGCTTTTAGTGGCTCTGTTCAGTCTTCAGATCCCGCTCTCCATCCCCCCCGTCCTGCATTCCGTCCTGCTTTCACTTCTTAGTTCTGTCTGTTCTTTTCTGTTCTGCTTTCTGTCTCTCGCGCTCTCCCTCTGATGCAGGACGGAGCAAAAGATGATGCTACTCTGACAGAATCACAAGAGTTTAAAGATGCATTACAGATTCTAGCAGAGGCATCAGAAGTTGTTGGGTGAAGCATTTTACTACCAGTACATGCGCAACTTGTTGGCCTGGCCTCAAAGGAAGCCTGGGCTCCTCATTCTCAGTCCCCTAGCCTCAAGCATAGCTCAAACACATGTTACATGTCTACTTACATCAGAAATGGATCAGTACAGCATTCGTAATGCTTTTTTTCGTAAGTATGTTTTTGGAGAAATTCAAACATGAACATGAATTATTCATCTAGGAGCAGCTGCCATGTTAGCAGTTGCCTTGCTCTGGTGATACCAGCAAACACTAGAGACTTTTATGGAAAACAATACCATCACCATTCTAGCTCTGCCCTTCACCTGCTTCTGTTTGCCCCTGTCCCCCCTCTCTGCTTCCTTGGGAGGGCTCCACACCAGCAGCACTAGGTGAAGCAGCACTCCCACCACTACCACTGCCACTGCTACCACCACTGTTACCACTCACACCATTGTTCAGGCCAACAGAGGCATCTGCACCTGTGCTATTGGACGCAGCCGGCCCAGTGGCCTGGGCCTGAGCTGCAGTGAGGGGGATCTGAGGTGCTTGTTCGCCTGCACCAGCACCAGATGCACCTGCACCAGATGTGCCGTCACCAGACTCATCTGCACCAGATGCACCTGCACCAGAACCAGTGGGGCCAGCTGCCTGCCCTTGAGAACCGACAGGTATCTGCCCTTGAGTCTGCGCCTGTCCCTGTGTCTGAGCCTGAGCCTGTGCTGTTAGCTGCTGCTGCAGCTGTTGCAAGTATTGCTGCAGGTACTGCTGCTGGTAGGGCTGCTGTTGCTGGTGCTGTGGCTGCTGGTATTGCTGAAGCAGCTGAAGGTACTGCTGCTGCTGCTGTTGCTGCTGCTGGTGATGGTGCTGCTGCTGTGGGTATGCAGCCGACAACCTGGACGAACAAAGGGAAGATTATAAGAAACAATCCCTTAACGAAATCTGATTGACCCCTTTTTCAAAGCTGATGCTATAAAAGATCATATTCAGATGACCAGAACTAGTAATTAACAGCCAGTCTGATCAAACTGCCTTGCAAAGCACACACAAAAAAAAGTGAATACAGAACGGTGAGAGAAAACGTACCAGGCATTGTATTGGCGAAGGAAGGCATCTGATCCAGAGACAGTAGCCACAGCAGGAGGGGGCTGGTTTGCATTGGGAGCTGGACTGGGGGTGGCAGTGGCAGTTGCAGTAGAAGCAGCAGCGGGAACTGCAGTGGAAGCTGCAGCAGCAGTTGTGCTTGAAGGTCCACTCGCACTAGCCTCACCACCAGGAGTGCCAGCAGCAGCAGATGCAGACGGAGACGTGGCATTGGGAGGAGTGGGTGAGGCCCCGGATGGCCCTGCCCCAGATGGCCCTGCCCCAGATGTACCTGCTGCTGCTGCTGCAGCTGCTCCAGATGTACCTGCTGTTCCTGCAGATGCACCTCCTCCTGCTCCTGCTGCTGCTGCTGCAGCCGCATATGCAGCCTGAGCCTGCTGCTGCCACTGCTGCCAGTACTGCCACTGCCCCCACTGCTGCCACTGCTGCCATTGCTGCATCTGCTGCCACTGCTGCCACTGCTGCTGCTGCTGCTGCTGTTGCTGCTGCTGCACCTGCTGAGCATATAGCAGCTGCTGGAGCTGCTGCTGCTCCAGCTGCCCTTGCAACCCCTGCAATCCCTGCAACCCCTGCAATCCCTGCAACCCCTGCAATCCCTGCAACCCTAGCAGCCCCTGCAATCCCTGTAGTCCCTGCAGCCCTTGCAGCATCTGCTGCTGCCCCTGCCCGAACGCCCCTCCCGCTCCAGCTGCCCCCATCCCACCAGGAAGGTTCAACTGCCCGTGAAACACGTGCACAGCTGGCATACCCCCACCTGCAGGAATGCGGAACTGACCCAAGGGAATGACGCCGCCCACACCACCACCAGCAGCGCCAGCACCAGCACCAGCAGCAGCAGCAGCACCAGGAGCAACACCAGGCGCAGCAGCAGGAGGCGCAAGAGGCCCAACCCCAGCTCCCCCTGGCACCCCAAACCCTAGACCAGCACCGCCAGCACCAGCAGCAACGCCGCCAGCAGCACCAGCAGCAGCAGCAGCAGCGGCAGCATTTCTCGCAGCGGCGGCGGCGGCAGCAGCGGCAGGGGGGGCCGTGGGCTGCGCCTGGGGCTGCAGCAGGGGCGCGCGGCAGGTGGGGCAGGTCTGCTGGCGCTCGAGCCAGGAGCGCAGGCAGTGCACGTGGAAGAGGTGCCCACAGGGAAGCTTCTTGGCTGACGTCATCTCCTCCCTGCAGATGATGCACGTGCTGTCCGCCCTGGTGGGAGGTAAAGGGGGAGAGGTGGGCGAGGAAGAAGGCAGGGAGGGTGGGGGAAGGATGGGAAGGGGAGGCGAGGATTGGGATTGCATGCTGAGTACAGGATGAGATTTGAAACCCGCAGGATAAAGGCACATGAAGCACAACAAGCAACCAAGCCTCCAACACACCCACCTCACCAGCTCCTCAGGAGTCGCATCGGGGAACCTTTCATGTTGAGGTTGGAACTTGGAGGAGATGCGAGGAGAGCGAATGAAGTCCGCCACTCGCATGCGGCTGTGAGGTGCATTTTGAGGCGCCTCAAAATTCTTGTTGAGGTTGGAACTTGGAGGAGATGCGGCGATAGCGGATGAAGTCCGCCACGCCACTCGCATGCGGCTCCCTGCCTGACACTCGTTACACGCCTCAAAAGAATGACTTTACCAAGCCAAGACACGCACCTCTCCAGCTCCTCAGGAGTGGCGTCAGGAAACCTCTCATTGAGGTTGGATGTGATGCGGCGATAGCGGATGAAGTCCGCCACTCGCATGCGGAAGTTGCGGAAGGTCTCGTAGAGGTCGCGGATGAGGTGCAGGGGCAGGCCGTACGTCCTGAGGGAAGGGGGGGAGGATGAACGAGGAGTGGCGCAACGGGTAGGATAGGAACAGAAAGAGTGAGGTTTGTTGAGATGTCGCGGATGAGATGCAGGGGCAGGCCGTACGCCCTGAAGGGGAGGGGACGAGGAGGAGGCACAAAGCACCAGTAAACAACAAGATGAGTGGCGTTGAAGGAAGTTGCAGGAGGTCTCGTGGAGGTTGCGGATGAGGTGCAGTGGCAGGCCGTACGTCCTGGGTGGCATTGCGTGAGGAACGACACGAGGGGAGCAGGAAACAGCAGAATGACAAGCTTGAGTTATCAAAGGTCTCGTAGAGGTCGCGGATGAGGTGCAGGGGCAGGCCGTACGTCCTGAAGGGAAGGGGGAGAGAAACGAGGGGAGCAGGAAACAGCATAATGACAAGCATGAGTCATCAAAAGCAGGTCTCGTAGAGGTCGCGAATGAAAAGAGAGAGAAGGAGAAGGAGGCGGAGTCAGAGCAGCTGCAGACGCTCTCCAAGGAGGGAGTCTGCTCCTGCTCCTTGGAGAGCGCCTGTAGCTGCTCTGACTCCCGCCTCCTTCTCCTGCACCACCTCCCTCAGATGGGAATTTGCGGCCCAAATCTCCTCCCTGCAAGTAGAGTGAACGAGATAAGAAAGCTACCGTATGATCTTTCTGAATGTTTTACTCGAAGACAAAAATCATTTCACAAGAAAAAGACCACATCCGTTTCCTGGATAAGTTAACGAAATGCGATGTTGTTTTAATCACTCACATGAAGATAATGGAAAAGAAGGCGAGGTAGACGAGGAGGTGCAGGAGGTCCTTCACGAGCTCCAGGTAGAAGATGTACGTGCAGAGATGAAACTCACATCAACATGATTCTAGCACACACAATGCTTCATCTTCGCAAGATACCAACAACAGATATCTACCTTTCTCAGACCTTCCGTTATAAATATTTACATGTTTCAAAAAAAAAAAAAAAAACCTCACATGAAAATGATGGAGAAGAAGGCGAGGTAGACGAGCAGGTGCAGGAGGTCCTTCACAAGTTCCAGGTAGAAGATGTAGGTCGCCTTGTGCTCCCACTGCCCCTCCATCACCGTGTCCACCATGTACAACACGTACTTGACGATGTTCGCCAGCATCGCAGACGCCAGGATGAAGTACCTGTAGAGGGACGGGATGGGGTTACAGTGTTACAATGTTACATGCAGCCTTGTCAATGGTGTAAGTCGCCTTGTGCTCCCACCACTGCCCCTCCATCACCGTGTCTACCATGTACAACACGTACGCGACGATTACTCGAACGCGAAGAGGATCCGGACAAAAGCGGAGCGAGTTTCCAGAAGGTACAAGATTGCCTGTAATTAGGGCACGCAGATTTTTTGGCGCCATGCAAGGGTTAAAAAATGCGGCAATCTTACTCGAAGGCGAAGAGGATCCGGACGGAAGCGGAGCGGGTCTTGAGAAGGTACGAGACCGCCTGGAATTCGAGCACGCAGTCCATCGCCAGGAGCAGCACCATGAACACGGTGATCCGGATGTGCGAAAGCCGCGATACTGCGGGCGTCGTTTCGATATACTCCACCCGTTTCTGAGCCAGCCAGTGGAAAATCTTCACGAAAAGGAGGGTAGAAAACATCCCGACGAAAGAAAAGGTAAATTCCTCTCGGAAAATCGTCATCGCGAGGCACGTCTCCATGATCTCGTGCCGCGACAGCTCGTGTAGCCTCTCAACCTCAGCTTCCCGGAGCTTTCCGAGGAAAACGGCTTTCACGATATGGCCGATAAGCAAGAGAAGGACGAAGGCCATATTCCCCATGACAACGAGGCAGATTTTGGAGGTGGAGAGGTAGAGCATGGCTGGGAAGAACTGTTCCCGCGTGTAGAAGGCATGGTAGACAACTCCTAGCAAGGTGGCCAGGCTCAGAGCCGCGTATTGACCTAACCCTATCATGGTAGCTGAATCGGCGTATTGATGGTGAGAAGGAAGAGGAAGAAGAAAAAGTCTAAGTGGGAGATGCTACGAAATTGTTATTTAGAATAGAACACAGACAGCAGCTGTTGAAACCAACTGCGATCCATGAATCCTCCGACCGCCTCCGCGACGACGAGAGTAGTGTGGAAGGACTAGAACCGTTGTAGATAACACATCCCGGCGTTTTGGCAGAGATCGAGGCACTAGAGAATCAGCAGATCCTTGCGGGAAAGTGAATCCATAACAGGAGTCCACTTACAATGGACGGCATCAATGTTACCAGCTAAGGACGAGGATCAACCTAAAATAGAGATGGTCGTCGTGGTGAGTTTGCCTAGCCAGGTCTGCTGGACTCAAGACTGAGAATGTCAAGTCCGTGCAGAATTGCTTGCTGAAAAAAAACAGATTTCTAGGCATCCAGATTCAGAAATATGATCTCGATGGTTCTTGTGTTGGAGGCTGCGTTTTGATGAGGACATGTGTTTTGATGCGTTTTGTGTTTTGATGCGTTTTGCTGTGTATTCCAATTCAAGCGCATGATCCAGAGACTGGTGTCAGTTGAGTATCGGACAGGACTTTTGAGGAGCACGGTGCTGTTTGAAAAAGAGACACTAGATCCAAGTTTCGAAACATGAGGCTTCGCTACAATTTTGTGAGGCTGGAGCTGTCGCGGTTCTCATACATTTCAAGGTATGCTTTACTGCGGTTCCAATTTAGAACGTTATTAGACGTTCGAACACGGTTGAGAAAGGTAGTTGGCCAAAAGCTCCTCTTCCCAGCCCCGCATCTGCTCCTGCCTGACTCCTGGATCCTGATCATCTGCAAGAACCCCTCTCATCAAAGTCAGACGCGAACCAGGCAAAAGTCCAGGAGAAATAATATTTCAGAATGGCGAAGACACAGAACAGCAAGTCTCTAATCTACTGGAGCCGAGTCGTGAACAAACCAGTCAGCTCCTCCATTCCTGAGCCTGCGAAAGTTCATGAACATTCGGCAATTCAATTCCATGGACGATCAACTTTCCAGTCTTCAACAGCACAAGATACGAGCTCCGATCGAACAGCGTCGTCAATTCCGTCCGAATGTACCGCGCATTCGTTACAAGAACGCAACGACCTAGCCAATGTCGGCCCTTTCGCAGCGCATGAAACTTCCACTTCACTAAACGACAGCAGCACATCACAAACCGACGGTTCAGAACCATGCCACGGAGAATGCGGTGCCGATTCTTGCAGCCAGAACCTGGCCACTCTTGACGGATTTCGTCCTCAGTCTAGCTCCTTACCAGAAGCCGTTATCGAATTCCGTCAGCGTCAATTCAACCAGCACAGTGTTGCTACTTTAGATAGTATCAGTACAAGTACGAGGCCGATAGTGGTTGTGATGGGATGGATGCAGAGCACGCAACGGCAACTGGCGGCGTACCTGCGCGTGTTAAACGAGTGCGGATGGGATGCCCTCGCCTGCCACCCTCCGCTGCTCCACCTGTAATGCACAAGATTCGCACTTTACCCTCTCATCGTTCTCTCCCTCTTTGCACTCTTCCCCTCCCTTCATTCGCCCCCTCTTCGCATCCTCCCCCTCCCGTCATTCTCCCCATCCCCCCATTCTCACTATTGAGGCGCCTCTCCCCCTCCCCGCATGCTTCCCGTCCGCTCATTCTCCCCCGCCCCTCACCCTGCCCGTCCTCGCGTTCTCCCCCTCTTCGCATCCTCACATTTCACTACATCGCATCGCATCAGATGGATGCCCTGGAGAGCAGAAGCACTGGCAAGAGCAATCCTCCCGTAATTCCTCCCCAAATTCCCCTCTCCGCATTCCTCCCCTTCATTCTCCCCTACTCCGCGTTCTCACATTTCACGGCATCGCATCGCATCAGATGGATGGATGCCCTGGAGAGCAAACTTTTGAGTCCCCTTTCAGGCGCCTCTCCCTCTCCCCTCATTCCTCCCTTCCCCGCATTCTCCCCCCCCCCGCATCCTCACATTTCACTACATCGCATCGAGCAGAAGCACTGGCAAGAGCAGTCCTCCGCTAATTCCTCCCCAAATTCCCCTCTCCGCATTCCTCCCCTTCATTCTCCCCTACTCCGCGTTCTCACATGGATGCACTGGCATCGCTGCATCGCATCAGATGGATGCCCTGGAGAGCAGAGGCACTGGCAAGAGCAGTCCTCCCCTAATTTCTCCCCGAGTTCCCCTCTCCGCATCCCTTCCCTCAATCCCTTCCCCGCATCCTCACATTTCACTGCATCGCATCAGATGGATGCCCTGGAGAGCAGAGGCACTGGCAAGAGCAGTCCTGGCGGAACTAGAAAAGGTATTTGATGATTGACGTCATCTTCAGTGACATACTCATCTCAGTGTTTCATGCCTAGACGAATAACAATCTCTCCTGCAGGTGGTACCTGCTTTGTTGCGTTGCATTTCAACATCCTGGCTTGTTCTTTTGCATTTCAATTCAACATCCTGACGTCCTCCTCCCTGCTGCCCAGGAGCTTGCAGGGCGGCCTCGGCCAGTGGTGTTCATGTCGTTTTCTGGAGGGTACAAGGCCTGCCAGTGGAAGATCATGGAGGTACGCCAGAACAGTGGTGGTGTTGTCGTTTTCCCTGTGAGCAAAATCAGAGAATGCACACCAGCCCTACTCACTGCCCCCTGCGCTGTCCCTCTTGCTGTCTCTCATGCTGTTCCTCATCCTTTTTCTCTCACATTCATCGTCTCTATTGACATTGTTTTTTGGGACAGTCAGCCTAGCTAGTAACGCTCAAATTCTTGTTGTACCGTTCTGCAGGCTCTGCTCTCCCCATCCGCGCAAGAGTCAATGCATCGTCATGATGCGAGTGCAGCAGGGGCAGCAGCGGCTTCAGCACCAGTGTCATCAGCAGCATTTCCATCATCAGCGTTAGCATCAGAGGGAGAAGGCACAGTCTCTTCCTCCCACCGGCACTTCCTTTCGCTCCTCCGAGAGTGTTACGCGGGGCAGGTCTTCGACTCCTCTCCGGTTGACTTCACATCTGACCTCGGCGTCAGGTTCCTCTCCCAACCACCACCCACCCAACCACGCACCATCCTTCAAACCACGGGCTCCGCTCCTGCTCCTGCTGCTACTCCTGCTACTCCCGCAAGTACTCCTGCCGGGCAGGTCTTCGACTCCTCTCCCGTTGACTTCACATCAGACCTCGGCGTCAGGTTCCTCTCCCGCCCTCCACCCGTAACTGCTCAACCGCCCCCCACCCCTCAACCGTCCGCCACCTCCCAGCCACCCCTCACCCCTCAAAGCGTTGGTTCTGCTCCTGCCTCTGCTGCTTCTCCTGCTACTACTCCTGCTCCTACAGCAGCACCCAAGCAGCCCGGGTCTGTGCGGCACACGTTGGTGCGGTCGGCGGCTGTGGTGCTGGACTGGCTGCTGCTCCCTGAGTTTGAGAGGCAGCGAGCAGCACAGTGGACGGCCCTTCTCCACTGCTCGGTGCGTGATTCTTTGGTAGTAACTGATTAGATCCTTGAAGATCAGAGAAGATTCTTCCTAGATCAGAGAAGATTCTTCCTTGATCAGAGAAGCTTCTTCCTAGATCAGAGAAGATTCTTCCTAGATCAGAGAAGATTCTTCCTAGATCAGAGAAGATTCTTTCTAGATCAGAGAAGATTCTTCCTAGATCAGTGAAGATTCTTTCTAGATCAGAGAAGCTTCTTCCTAGATCAGAGAAGATTCTTTCTAGATCAGAGAAGATTCTTCCTAGATCAGAGAAGATTCTTCCTAGATCAGAGAAGATTCTTCCTAGATCAGAGAAGATTCTTCCTAGATCAGAGAAGATTCTTCCTAGATCAGAGAAGATTCTTCCTAGATCAGAGAAGATTCTTCCTAGATCAGAGAAGATTCTTCCTAGATCAGAGAAGATTCTTCCTAGATCAGAGAAGATTCTTCCTAGATCAGAGAAGATTCTTCCTAGATCAGAGAAGATTCTTCCTAGATCAGAGAAGATTCTTCCTAGATCAGAGAAGCTTCTTCCTAGATCAGTGAAGATTCTTCCTAGATCAGAGAAGATTCTTCCTAGATCAGAGAAGATTCTTCCTAGATCAGAGAAGATTCTTCCTAGATCAGAGAAGATTCTTCCTAGATCAGGGATCCGACTCCCATCATTTATGCCCCATCCCCTATGCGTCACCCGCATGCCCCCATCCAGCCCCTGGCGCGGGTGCTGCTGCTGTGCAGCACGGACGACCAGCTGGCTCCCATCGGGTTCATTCGCCAGTATGAGAGAGAGGCAGCGGCGAGGGGCACGGCACGCCCTAGCCTCCGTCTTCTCTTGCACCCGCATACCCCATCAGTCATCCCCCATCCCCTATGCCTCATCGGCCTGCCTGCCCCCCCTCCAGCCCCTGGCGCCGGTGCTGCTGCTGTGCAGCACGGACGACCAGCTGGCACCCATTGAGTTCATCTGGAAGTATGAGAGAGAGGCAGTGGATGCGAGGGGCGCCGCAGGGCTCTTTCACATTGTCTCACCTGCGTACCCCCGTCGGCCTGCCTGCTCCCTCCTATGCAGCCCCTGGCGCCGGTGCTGCTGCTGTGCAGCACGGACGACCAGCTGGCACCTATTGAGTTCATCTGGAAGTATGAGAGAGAGGCAGTGGGGAGGGGCGCGGTATTGACGAAGGTGGAATGGAGCACATCGGAGCATGTTGGTGAGTGGGGAAGGGATTTGGGATAGCAGGTGCACAGGCACAAGTCCCAGGAGCATGTTGAGCTTCTTGGGAAGTGTATGGGCGAGAGCATCAGGGGCGAGGGGTGCGGCAGCGAGGAGGGTGGAATGGAGCGCATTGGAGCATGCTGGTGAGTGGGGAAGGGACTCGGGATAGCAGATGCACAGGCACAATTCCCAGGAGCATGTTGAGCTTCTGGGAAATTGTGTGAGGGAGAGCAGCAGGGGCGAGGGGCAACAGTGAGGAGGGTTGATTGGCGCACGTCGGAGCATGTTGGTGAGTGGGGAAGGGATTTGGGATAGCAGGTGCACAGGCACAAGTCCCAGGAGCATGTTGGTGAGTGGGGAGGAGGGGCTAGCGATGGTGTGTGTGTGTAGAGGGGCTGGAAGGCCATTTGTTTGAAAATGGTGTGCTGAGGTTGATTTTGAGAATTCTCATATTCAACCTCAAACAGAATGGTGTGTGTGTAGAGGGGCTGGGAGGCCCAGTAGACACCCATTGGGCCCAGTAGACACCCATTGGGCCCAGTAGACACCCATTGGGCCCAGTAGACACCCATTGGGTTCATCCACAAGTATGAGAGCAAGGCAGTGGCGAGGGGTGTGGCAGTGGCGAGGGGTGTGGCAGTGGCGAGGGGTGTGGCAGTGAGGAGGGGTGTGGCAGTGAGGAGGGTGGAATGGCGCACATCGGAGCATCGGAGCATGAGGCAAGAAAGAATTTCGTTCCCCTTCGCACTCACTCACCTTTCATGTTTAGTGTGCACCCTCCCTTTTATTCTCGCAGGCACTGATGAAGGCCTGGTAGGGGATGCCCTCCAGCCGAAACATGTTTGTCTTGTCTGGAAGTATGTCAGAGGATCTGCTAGCACTCAACTCACCTTTCATGCATAGTGCGCCCTCCCTTTTGAGTCGACTCAAAAGCCTTTCATGCATAGTGCGCCCTCCCTTTTGAGGCACCTCAAAAATCGAATTTCGTTCCCCTTCGCACTCAACTCACCTTTCATGTATAGTGCGCGCCCTCCCTTTGCTGCTCGCCGTGCAATCCATTTCACCATCATACACAGTAAGGGTAACAATCTCCGTGAGCCCATTCAAAAAACTGAACTCCAACCACCATTTCCCTTGTGCGTTTTGAGTCGACTCAAAACACACCATAACATATAGAAAGGGTAAGAATCTCCATGAGCCCATCCTGAATATTTACCTCCATTCACTATTCCCCTTCCTCCATCCACCATTTCCTGTCCTCCTGAGTGAGCTCATGCAATCCCAACTTCACTGGGTAATTAGTGGTAGCACGGACAGGAGTAGCAGCTCTGGATGGTAGCACGGACGGGAGTGAGTGACAGGCTCCACTGGGAACAGCCTTGGAGTAGTAGCCCTGGGAGCAGCAGCCGAAAGGTACCATGGGTGTTGCCGCAGAGCTGAATGCAGTGCGATTGGCTTCAATTCAAGCAGTTTACCCTCCGACCCCCCTCCTTCCCCCCCACCCGCCACCAGGCCATATGCGGCACCACAGGCACGAGTACATCACAGCCCTGCGAAGCTTCCTTGGAAACGCCCTTTCTCTCTGGGAGCAGCAGCGGGAGCAGCAGCAGCGAGGCAGTATGGGGGGTTGCAGGGCTGAGCTCGCTAGAGAAATCACATCCAGGCTGTGATAGGATGCTTAACATCTTCTTTTGCTGCCTTTTGACGCATCTCAAAAGCTTGCCAGAGGAATCACATCACATCCAGGCTGTAATGCTTAACATCTTCTTTAGCTGTAACTGTAAATCCATGTTGCTGTTCAAGTATTTTCGTATTGTAATCTTGAAGGCACGTCATTGTAAGGCTCAGACCCCATCTCATTGCCAGCAGGCTACTGCTATTGCTGCTTTCCCAGCCCAACATAGAAACGTATGGTACATACCCCAAAGCAGATGCATTTGTTGTACTCAATTGGCGCATAGCACCACACCAGTGCTAGATACAACAGAAACTCCTGCCCTGCATAACCAGCAACACCTCTTCTTCACCCATCCCCTCCTCTTCTACTAGGTCAGTGCAGTTGGTTGGCAAAAGTACTACATGATTGAACAAATCAGGAGCAGGTGAAGTATACCGTGGGATAACCCCCTACACTACTCCACGCCACAAGACTTGTATAAGCCAGGGTTGCCAATCAGCTCTCTACGTCGTACCCTTCCTAAACAGAATCTACTCCAGGATTATGTGCTGCTTTCCCCACCACATGAGGTGCATTTTGAGGCGCCTCAAAATGCACCAGGGTTGCCAATCGGCTCTCTACGTCGTACCCTTCCTAAACAGAATCTACGGTACTCCAGGATTATGTGCTGCTTTCCCCACCACAGGATTTACCCCTTCAGCTGAAAAAGCCTGTGCTTCCGAGCCATTTGGTCTTGTGCTATCCAGACCTGCTTGACTAGTTCGGGCTGCCAGCCGCACTCCAGCTTCGGCAGCTCGCTTGAGAGCTTCGGCAACGAGATCGCTGCTATTGGCTCCCCACGGCACATGAGTCACGTCAAGGCTCGCGTCCTTCTCAGCGCCAAGGCTGGCGGCGTGCTTCTCTGAGTCAAGCCTACTTATGAGCTGTATAGGCTTGACTCTAGCAAGGCTCGCGTCCTTCTCAGACCCGCTGAGACTCATGTGCTTTTCCGAGTCAGGCCTGCTGCTAGGCTCTCTAGCGTTAGGCTTGTCCCTAGCAACCCTCTCAGGATTTTCTTGAATTCCCACTTCACCCACGCGTCTTGAATTCGCCACCCCTGATGCTCTCTCTTCCCTTGCTTCTGCCTCTACCTTGCCGTCTGCTCCTGTCGGTCCTCCCTGCTCACTGAACCCATCTGCACCCTCCTCAACCTGTTCCCTCACAACCGTCCCATTGCCACAAACTAATTTTTCCTCTCCCTTCCCCTCTCCACCTTCCATGGACCCTCCATTCACTCCTTGTCCTTTCCCTCCTCCATTTAGAGCATCCCCTCCCTCTTGCCCTCTCGCTCCTCCTCCTCCTCCTCCTCCTCCTCCTCCTCCTCCTCCTCCTCCTCCTCCTCCTCCTCCTCCTCCTCCTCCTCCTCCTCCTCCTCCTCCCTCCTCCCCTGTATCTTCCTCAAACTCCCCATCCTCTCTCTCACTCCTCCCCTCTCCTCCCCCACTAGCTCCCCCCAACTCTCCCTTTCCATTCCAGCCGCCATCACCCATCCTCATATCTGAGTTTTGAGAGATCCCATAGACTCTCGCATCCCTCTCGGACCCACCATCACCTGCCAACCCATGCCCATTAGCACCAAAAAATGCCGCCCCCCGGCCATCCACCCCACCACTCCTCTCACCCATCCCACCCAGCCCCACACCTCCCTCACCTCCCTCACCCTCCACCTCCCCCACCGCAATCTCCTCTCCCCTCCTCGCCTCTCCCTGACCTACCCTCCACCCCTCTCTACTATCCCTCCTCCCTTCCCGCCCCATCCTAACCCCCACTGGAGAGTCTAGAAACGCAGTTAGTCTCCTAGGCCCTCTAGCCCCAGCAGATAAAGACCTCTTTACTACAGGACTACCAGCAGCACCAGCAGCAGCAGCAGCAGCGGCAGCAATAGCAGCAGCTGGGCTTGTCCCTGTTGCTCCCAGTACCAGCCCTGCTGCTGCCCCAACTGCTGCTCCTGCTCCTCCTTCCAAGGCTCCTGCCGCTGCTGCTCCTGCTCCTCCTGCTCCTCCTGCTCTTCCTCCTCCTGCGGCTGCTGCTACGGCTGCTGCTGCTGCCTGCCTGGGAGAGGGAGCGGGTTGTTGCATGGCCTTGGGCATGAACTTGGGACTCACCAGAGGCACTTTGAATCCCATCTTCTTCAACAGTCGACTTCTCACTCCGCCACCGCCCATCGCAGCAGATGCCGCACCACCACCCCTGCTGCCGCCCCTGCCACCGCTGCCAAAGCTGCTGCTGCCCCTGCCGCTGATGCCACCGCCGCTGCCAAAGCTGCTGCTGCCGCCCCTCCCGCTGCTGCCCAGACTAATGGTTGAGCGCGGGAAAGGGCGTGAGGCAGGGAGCGAGGCCGAGTGGGGCAGCGGGGACTTGGAGAGGGAATGGGAGCGGAAGGCTGTTGAAACAGGCTGCGACCGGGCCTTGGGAAACGGTTGCCGGGGTGGTGGCTGTAGAAATAAAGGATGGGAGATTGGGATGGGAGGTTGAGGATGGGAGATTGGGGATGGGAGGTTGGGGATGGGAGGTTGGGGATGGGAGGTTGGGGATGGGAGGTTGGGGATGGGAGGTTGGGGGGGTAGAGGGGTGATGGGGAGAACTGGGTTAAGAGCAATTAAATGACATTTCGTGGCGCATGCATGGTGTTGTGATGCATCCCATACGGCAGCACAGCACAATGCACTCGCACACAAGGCAGCTGCACCACATACCGGCCCCATTGACTGTCGCGACCCCTTTCCTTGCTTCTTCCCTCCTCCCCTCTCCCCACCCCCATCCTCCTCCTCCCCCATCTCCGCTTCCCCTAGTCCTTCATCCTCTTCTTCTTCCTCCTCCTGCTCCTCCTCCTGTCCTTCCTTCTCCAATCCCGGTATAAAATCTTCAGACTCGTCCTCATCCACGCCTATCCCCAACAGATCCTCCTCCTCCTCTTCCTCTTCATCCTCCTCTTCTCCCCCGTTGCTATCTTCCCCTCCTTGCATCTCCCCGTCCTGTCCCGTTTCCTCCTCCTGCCCCCCTTCTTGCTCCTCCTCCCCCTCATCCTCGTCCTCCTCCTCCAGCTGCTTGAGTCTAGACTTGCGTTTCAGAGCGCCAGATGCAGCAGCAACCAGCGCCCCCTTCTTGCTCAGAGCCTTTCTCGTACTTTCTTTTACAGCTGGAACTGGTGCTCCCACAGGCGTTCTCGTGCGTCCATTCGAACCCACTGCCCCGAGTGCTGCAGCAGCACTGGAGCGAGCTCTTCTAACCAGCACTCGAGGCTTTTCCTGTTCCTTTCCTTTCTCTTCTTCTTCCTCCTCCTCTTTCTCCTGCTCCTCTTCTTCCTCTTGCTCTTGATCCTGAGGACGAAAATCCTGTGGGGAGGAACATCACAAGAAAAAGACTACACAGGTAAGAAGCGCAAAGGAATGGGTTTGTGGGTTGGGTGCATGCTAAAGGCCTGCATGCCCTCGTGTGTGTGTGATGAGACTGCTTCATAGGTACCTCAGAGAACTGCTTCGTGCGTGTGTATGTCGGTAAGCAAGTCCACCTCTTTACTGGTCCCATTAAAATAGAAGGGATTTTCTAACCTGCATTTTTTGGATTCTTGTTATTTTACTGTCAGACAGTCACGTGGATTAGAATGGACTTTCTAACTCAGAAGTTATATGAAGGCAACCAGGCAGGAAACTCACGTCAGAGTCGCCCGCATCTTGTGCCGCTTCCACCTCCCCCTTCCCCCGTTCAATATCATCCCCATCATCAGCATCCCCATCATCATCATCATCCCCATCTACTTTGTATGCTGCACCAGGCAGGAAACTCACATCAGAATCGTAGTCTGCATCTTGAACCTCTTCTGCCTCCTCTTCTGCTCCTTCATTGTCATCCTCTTCCCCATCCCCATCACCGCCATGATCACCATCCCCCCCATCTTCAGCCTTCGCTGCTCCTCCCTGCCCCCGACCTCTTGTTGGGCTTGCTGTTGGTTGGCTGCGAGGCGAGGAGTGAAAAAAGAGGAAATAAGGGAGTGATTCACACACGAGCGACTTTTGAGGTTGAGGCGCCTCAAAAGTTGGCTGCGAGGCGAGGAGTAAAAAAAGGGGAAATAAGGGAGTGATCCGCACAGGAGCGGTCGCGAGAGAAGAAGACAGCACGAGGAAGGAAAGAAGAACGAGGTGACTTTTCCAAGAAGAACGAGGTGACTTTCCCTTTCCAAGTCGACTCAAAAGTCACTTGGAAATAAGGGAGTGATCTGCACAGGAGCGATCGCCAGAGAAGACAGCACGAGGAAGGAAAGAAGAACGAGGTGACTTTTACAAGAAGAACGAGGTGACTTTTCCAAGAAGAACGAGGTGACTTTTCCAAGAAGAACGAGGTGACTTTTCCAAGAAGAACGAGGTGACTTTTCCAAGAAGAACGAGGTGACTTTTCCAAGAAGAACGAGGTGACTTTTCCAAGAAGAACGAGGTGACTTTTCCAAGAAGAACGAGGTGACTTTTCCAAGAAGAACGAGGTGAATTTTCCAAGAAGAACGAGGTGACTTTTCCAAGAAGAACGAGGTGACTTTTCCAAGAAGAACGAGGTGACTTTTCCAAGAAGAACGAGGTGACTTTTCCAAGAAGAACGAGGTGACTTTTCCAAGAAGAACGAGGTGACTTTTCCAAGAAGAACGAGGTGACTTTTCCAAGAAGAACGAGGTGACTTTTCCAAGAAGAACGAGGTGACTTTTCCAAGAAGAACGAGGTGACTTTTCCAAGAAGAACGAGGTGACTTTCCCTTTCCAAGTCGACTCAAAAGTCACTTGGAAATAAGGGAGTGATCTGCACAGGAGCGATCGCCAGAGAAGACAGCACGAGGAAGGAAAGAAGAACGGAAAAACAGCGGAAAGTATGAGGGAAAAGAAAGAAAGAAAGAAAAAAAACTCAGAGGAGACTGTTTTGGGAAGGAACATGGGATGGGGCTGAGGGCATGTGGAGCTTGGGGCATGTGGGGCTGCGGTGGGGGCATGTGGAGCTTGGGGCATGTGGGACTGCGGTGGGGGCATGTGGAGCTTGGGGCATGTGGGGCTGCGGTGGGGGCATGTGGAGCTTGGGGCATGTGGGGCTGCGGTGGGGGCATGTGGAGCTTGGGGCATGTGGGACTGCGGTGGGGGCATGTGGAGCTTGGGGCATGTGGGGCTGCGGTGGGGGCATGTGGAGCTTGGGGCATGTGGGACTGCGGTGGGGGCATGTGGAGCTTGGGGCATGTGGGACTGCGGTGGGGGCATGTGGAGCTTGGGGCATGTGGGGCTGCGGTGGGGGCATGTGGAGCTTGGGACATGTGGGACTGCGGTGGGGGCATGTGGAGCTTGGGGCATGTGGGGCTGCGGTGGGGGCATGTGGAGCTTGGGGCATGTGGGGCTGCGGTGGGGGCATGTGGAGCTTGGGGCATGTGGGACTGCGGTGGGGGCATGTGGAGCTTGGGGCATGTGGGACTGCGGTGGGGGCATGTGGAGCTTGGGGCATGTGGGACTGCGGTGGGGGCATGTGGAGCTTGGGGCATGTGGGGCTGCGGTGGGGGCATGTGGAGCTTGGGGCATGTGGGGCTGCGGTGGGGGCATGTGGAGCTTGGGGCATGTGGGACTGCGGTGGGGGCATGTGGAGCTTGGGGCATGTGGGGCTGCGGTGGGGGCATGTGGAGCTTGGGGCATGTGGGACTGCGGTGGGGGCATGTGGAGCTTGGGGCATGTGGGACTGCGGTGGGGGCATGTGGAGCTTGGGGCATGTGGGGCTGCGGTGGGGGCATGTGGAGCTTGGGGCATGTGGGGCTGCGGTGGGGGCATGTGGAGCTTGGGGCATGTGGGGCTGCGGTGGGGGCATGTGGAGCTTGGGGCATGTGGGACTGCGGTGGGGGCATGTGGAGCTTGGGGCATGTGGGGCTGCGGTGGGGGCATGTGGAGCTTGGGGCATGTGGGACTGCGGTGGGGGCATGTGGAGCTTGGGGCATGTGGGACTGCGGTGGGGGCATGTGGAGCTTGGGGCATGTGGGACTGCGGTGGGGGCATGTGGAGCTTGGGGCATGTGGGGCTGCGGTGGGGGCATGTGGAGCTTGGGGCATGTGGGACTGCGGTGGGGGCATGTGGAGCTTGGGGCATGTGGGACTGCGGTGGGGGCATGTGGAGCTTGGGGCATGTGGGACTGCGGTGGGGGCATGTGGAGCTTGGGGCATGTGGGGCTGCGGTGGGGGCATGTGGAGCTTGGGGCATGTGGGACTGCGGTGGGGGCATGTGGAGCTTGGGGCATGTGGGACTGCGGTGGGGGCATGTGGAGCTTGGGGCATGTGGGACTGCGGTGGGGGCATGTGGAGCTTGGGGCATGTGGGACTGCGGTGGGGGCATGTGGAGCTTGGGGCATGTGGGGCTGCGGTGGGGGCATGTGGAGCTTGGGGCATGTGGGACTGCGGTGGGGGCATGTGGAGCTTGGGGCATGTGGGACTGCGGTGGGGGCATGTGGAGCTTGGGGCATGTGGGGCTGCGGTGGGGGCATGTGGAGCTTGGGGCATGTGGGGCTGCGGTGGGGGCATGTGGAGCTTGGGGCATGTGGGGCTGCGGTGGGGGCATGTGGAGCTTGGGGCATGTGGGACTGCGGTGGGGGCATGTGGAGCTTGGGGCATGTGGGACTGCGGTGGGGGCATGTGGAGCTTGGGGCATGTGGGACTGCGGTGGGGGCATGTGGAGCTTGGGGCATGTGGGGCTGCGGTGGGGGCATGTGGGGCTGCGGGCAAGGGGGCTTGTGACAATTTTCTTGTCGCATTTCAATACTCCCCGCTCTCATCTTTTCTCTCCTCATTCTCACCTCAAATCCGCCACACTCTTGGTTCGTCTCTTCCTCTTCACCTCTCCCATGCCTCCTACTTTTCCTGAGGCACCTAAGAATTAGCTTCGCCTATTCGCCTCGTCTTTTCTCTCCTTCATTTTTCCTGCGCTTCCACTCTACGTCAAGACCCATTCTCACCTCAAATCCGCCACGCTCTTGGTTCGTCTCTTCCTCTTCACCTGTCCCATGCCTCCCTCCTCCTCCATTTCCTCCTCCTCCGCTTCCTCTGCCGCTACTGCCTCCGCTCCCCCCGTTTTCCGCGGAGTCAGAACGCGCAAGCCCACCCTCCGCCCGCCAATTACCGCCTGGCGCGCGGAACTCTCCGCCGCGCCAGAACTTCCCCCCCCGCGCGCGCTCCGCGCCCTGGTACTAGCGGACGGCGCAGCAGCTGCAAGGCTCGCAACCGCGACCAATCCGCGTCCGCCACGTGTCGACCTCGCTTTCGTCTCGTTTTTCTCTTTCTTCCCCTTCTTTCCCTTATCTTCTTCCTCCTCCTCGTCCGATTCTTCCGCCTGAACCCCCGCGGCTAGCTTGGCGTAGTTCACGGCGACTCGCCTCCGCTTAGACCGCTCCATTACTGCCTTAGTGGCAAGGTAAGTAGCTCGCGACTCGCGAACTATTCGGTAACTGTTACGTAAGTAAGTATTCGCACGTTTCGAGAAAGAGGCGAACGAGAGGAGAACAGAGAAACAGGGCAGAAAAAAACGCCTGAGAGACTAAGAGACCCACTAGTCGTCAGAGAGCCAAAGTTGAAATGACCGCGCAACGTTACTGAAATAACTCTTGACAACGACTAACCACAGTCACAATTCCAGTGCTTCTGAGGAGCCTAAAAAACTCTTTGAGTCGACTAACACGGTCGCAGGAATAAACGCTAGTCGGTGTGACCAAAGTGGCAAGTGGAGAGACTACGGTGGAGTGACGCGCCACGAGGATAAGCAGAGAAAACACCCCTATTTTGTGGGGGCGGTGTTGCTAGTTTTCTTGGGGATGATAAATTTGTTGTTTAACATGTGCTTGTGAACTATAACGAAGAGCAGTCTGTTACGTTTGAAGGTGTTCTCAGTTTTATGTGTGATGCGTTAAGTGCGTTTAGATACGATGCGTAGTGGTTGAGATGGTTAATGAGTGGCATCACCGCTTTGGAACTAGCAGAACCAGGATATACCGTCAAACTGTTCACAGCTGATCAAACCACCGAACACGCCCTGCTCACAAAATATTCCCGAAGAACCTGGATTCTGTCACATCACAACAAAAGCTTGACCAGCGTCGCAAATCGCAAATGACTGGTTACTATAACTGAATACCCGCTGTCCAAACCCTTTGTTTACTCGCGTCGCGCTAGAGATTACAGCAGCAAGCGCGATGGCAGCTCAAGCGAATCAGCAGCAGGAGCTGCTACCCTCGTGGCTGCAGCATATTCCAGGGGAGGACGAACCGCCGCACGATGCCACAGGTAGCGCGCTCGCAGCATTGATAGCCTCACGAGACATGAAATTCTTCATGACGTCCAACCTATGACTCGGGTCGTGCTTTTCAAGTCTAGGAAACAGCGTTTTCGACCCTGGTTTGCTCTAGAGTGCAAGGCTCGTGTGATTGCGATATCTCAAAACTCGTTTCGACCGTCCGATGCTCTAGAGTGCACGGCTCCTGTGCTTCGCGTGAGATGCGGCCTTGCGTTTCGTTGGATGGGACCAATTGATTTCCGAGTAGTAACTATATCCTGACCTTGTTCTTCTTTGTCCTCGTTATTGGCAGTTCCGGTTGTGGTGGCAGAGGTGAAACCTGCACTTGCGAATAAGTTAATAAAGTGAGCTGGCTTGACACCGTCTGCCTGATCAGGTCGTTCATCAGGTGGTTGTTGATCAGGTGGTTGCTGTTCAGGTGGTCATTGATCAGGTGTTGATCAGGTATTTTGTCCTTTTCTCTATCCCTCTATCATCGTCATTCCCCTTGCAGTTTTCCCGAAATGCGTCAGTAGCACCACTGTGGGAGCTTCGGCACTTGCGAAAGACTCAGAACCGCAGCAACTCAGAATCACCTGGTGTGTTTGCCCTCTTCCCTGGCTCCCACTCTTTTCCCCCCCTCCCCCACCCCCCACACACCAACCCCCACTCCCCTGCCCCCACCCAGGCAGCTGGCGTCAGTGGCGCCGCTGCGGGATCTACACCATGTGAAGAGAGTGCGGAGGACAGGGGAAGGTGAGAGGGTGAGGGGTGGGGGGAATGGGGTGATGGAGAAAGGGAAAAGCGTAGAGGAGAGGAGAGTATAAGTGTAAGAGTGAGAACAAGAGAGCATTTTATGCCACGTCTCACTTCCTTTGCTTTGTAAGGCGGCTTGAGGTTTTACTCATGCCATGTCACGTGTGTCTCTTCCTTCCTTCTTCCTCCAGGCCGGGCCGTCTCGCTGCACGTTGTGCTGACACCTGGCAGCGATCCATTGGCTCTTCCTGAGCCTCTGCTACAGCTGGTGACTCAGCACGGGCTGGAGCCTGTTGTAACTCAGGTGGGTCTGCTGTTGTTGTTCATATTCATTTGTTCCGTATCATTCATATTGTCCGTACTGTTAATTTTCCTCACACTGTGATTTACTGTGACTTGTATGCAGGTGCCGGCCCACGCCCCTCGCCTAAGCTCTGCCATTAGGACAAGTTACCTGCTGGAGTAGGACGAGTCACCTGCTGGATCCAGGTCGAAACTTTATACGTATGCACCCACCACTTGTATGCAGGTGCCGGCCCACGCCCCTCGCACAAAGGAGCGGTGGCAGGAGCAACAGTCAGTCTGGCCCACATCCTTCCACCCACCGCTGTACGTGTTAAATCTGCGTTTTTCAACGCAAAACGTCATCCCCGGCCTTGAGATGCTGGGCTTACACGTGAAGGGGTGCATCCGTCAATGAATGCAGCCCTTCACGGGACCCTTTGTTCTTCAGAACTTCTGGTTCCTTTTTCTTGCATCTGCGGCTGCTAAATGCATCCAACATCCAACATCTTGACATTCGCAACACGTATATATATGTGTTGCAAATGCTACACGTACTGTGGACATGTGGCCCTCATATTCGTTCTGCACGTTTCTCCCAACCAGGCCTGGCAGCGGCGCTGCTGCTCCCCCCGCCACTGTCACACCTGCTACAGCCACATGCACCCAGCAGTGCTTCCGTGTGATGTGGGTCACATATTCCTTCCAACATGTCTCCACTGCTTTACCGTTCTTCACATCACATTTCTCCCAACCAGGCCTGGCAGTGGCGCTGCTGCTCCCCCCTCCACAGTCACACCGGCTGCAGCCACATACATCCAACAGTGCTTCCGAGCGATTGTAGAGAAGGCCGTGAAGGCTTGTGAGGGAAGAGCGGGCAGCGATGCTCGTGAGCGAGTGACTATATATAAAGGGAAGGAGGGAGGCAGAGAATTGAATGGCCAAGGGGATGACTGTGGAGAGAGGAGAGAGAGGGCGGAGAGGGTGGAGGTGGGGGAAAGAGAGGAGAAGCTAGGGGAGGCTGTGGATATGAGGCACCAGGAGGAGGGACCTGGGGGACGTTGGGAGGAGGGACACGGGAAGCTGCATCAGTGCGGTTCATGTGGCCACACTGAACCGTTGAGTGCGGAGAATGGGGAAAGAGAGGAGAAGCTAGGGGAGGCTGTGGATATGAGGCACCAGGAGGAGGGACTTGGGGGACGTTGGGAGGAGGGGTGGCACCAGTGCGGTTCGTGTGACCAGTCAGAACCGTTGTGTGTGCAGCATAGGGGGTTGCTGCGGCCATGCTGTGTCGAGGTGCATCCCTGTTACATCTTCTGGCTTTTTTTCTCACCCTTTCTTTCCCCCCACCGCTATTCCTTCCAAACCTCTCTGCCCCTTCCTCCCTCCTCCCCTCCCCCTTTCCGTTCCACATCTTGTTCCCATTCATCCCAATTCATCCCGAGTCACCCCGTTCTCTCTTCCACTTCCCCCCGTTCTCTCTTCCACTTCCCCTCAATCCTCTCCCTCTCACCCCGTTGTCTCTCCCTAAACCCCCATTCTTTTGAGGCGCCTCAAAAGTCGTTGTCTCTCCCTAAACCCCCATTCTTGTTATTTCTCACTGTCTCTTTTTCAGGGGTTCAATATGGCTGTCATCGCCGACCCTAGCAACGGGCAAATTCTCGCCTCTGCTCAAAACCCCGCTGCGCCCGCTTCTCGGCGAAGTAAGAAGACGAGAAGGGCGCATGGCACAACAGCCATGTCCACAACAACGACAACAGGAACCACAGCAACCACAGCAGCAGCCACAGCACCAGTCGCAGCAGCAGCCACCGCGGCAGTTGAAACAGCGACGACAGCAGCGGCAGGAGCAACAGCAACGGCGACAACGTGCAGTGAAGCAAAGCGGAATAGCAATCCGTGTGCAAGAAACAATGGCAGGGAGGAGAATTTCGCACGAGGGAGGTTGGGGCATCCCTTGGGGCATGCGGTGATGGTTGCGATTGCTGCTGCTGCTGCCTGGGACCGAGCACTGTTCCCCAGTGAGGCGGCACAGGACAAAACACTGTTCATGGATGGCGGTGGGGAGGAGTCAAGGGGTGCAGCTTTATCAGAAAGGGGTGGTTCTGAGGCTGCACAGGGGGAGGAGAAAGAGGAGAGAGAAGGGGAGCAGGGGGAAGGGGAGCAGCGAAAGATCGAGCTGGATGGGGAAGGGGAAGAGGTGAGGGAAGCGGGCATGGAGGCGAAGAGAGATGGCAAGTGGCCTCCTTTGAAAAGGCGAAAGGGCAATGATGTGAGTTGTGAAAGTGATAGGAGTGATGGGAGGGATGGGAGGGTGTGAATAGGAAAATAACATGTCATCAACACAATTGAATTGAATATCCCACCCGTGTTGTTTCCTCCTTTCACTTTGCCAACCTGTTTATCACTTTGCCAACCTGTTTATCACTTTGCCAACCTGTTTATCACTTTGCCAACCTATTTATCACTTTGCCAACCTGTTTATCACTTTGCCGCACAGTCTTTGTACATATTTTGTTTCTTTCCCCCCCTCCTCTGTATATACCTCTGCTTCTGCACTATTCCACTGTCTTTTTCTTTCTTTCTTTCTTTCTTTCTTTCTTTCTTTCTTTCTTTCTTTCTTTCTTTCTTTCTTTCTTTCTTTCTTTCTTTCTTTCTTTCTTTCTTTCTTTTTCTTTCCTTTTCTTTTCTTTTCTTCTTTCCGTTTTTTTTTTTTTTCTTGTTTTTTTTCTTTTCCTTCTTCTTTTTCTCTGCTCTCTGGTGCACAGGTTCAGGGACTAGGTGACCCAGCACGGTCTGCTGTCTCTCCAAATGCACCGCCATGCTCTGCTGTCCGCCCATACCTCTGCACGGGCTTCGATGCCTTCCTGCTGCATGAGCCCTGCATCATGTGAGTGATGGGTGGTGTCACTGGTGTGGGTGGGTGATGCTGCATGAGTCGTTCATTAAAACCGGAGGTCCAAGAGTTTCTAAGTTAGGAAGGTTGAAAGGGGAGAGAAAGGTGACTGGATCGCGAGCCAGGGTGGTGTCGAAATCGGTGGTAGCGGGTCGCTAAGAATGAAAAAGTCGCGAGTGTAACCAGATATGGAATGCTACGTCAGAACTCGTTCGCTGACTGTTTCGGACGGACTGCAAATGTGTTCGCGAATTTGTCACCACTATCGTCCTCGCTTGAACAGTACTTCGCTTGGCGAAAATCGTCCCAACAATTTGCGAGGAGAGCTCGGTATCAACTGGATCACACCCAACCAAAGTTAGGAAGGTTGAGGCAGTTTCGGGCTGTTTGGGACTCCAGTTTTAAGTGAGCTCTCTCCACAGTCGTCTGCTGGTACGCTATGCACCACCTCATGCATTAGCTGGTTGGTTCGGTCTTCAAACTATCTCAAACCGGCATAAAGAGCACCTTCATTTTCTCCTCTCCTTCCCTCTCCCCTCCTCCCAGGTGTGCAATGGCATTGGTGCATCAGCGTGTGCGTCGAGTCTTCTATGCCATTCCCAGTGCGGAAGGAGGAGCGCTGGGCAGCTGCTGGAAGCTGCATGGGGTCAAGTCTCTTAACCACCACTATGAGGTGTTTAGGGTTGACCTCAGTCAACTCTTCAGTCAACTACCACAGTGATACCCGCTAAGAAATGTTCCAGGTTGACCTGAGTCAGCTGTTTATTTTGGGTCGCCTGGAGCGCTGGGCAGCTGCTGGAAGCTGTATGGGGTCAAGTCCCTCAACCATCACTATGAAGTGTTCAGGGTTGACCTCAGTAACTGTGTGCCCAGCGACCACTACGAGGTGTTCAGGGTTGACCTGAGTCAACTTTAACTATCACGCAACTGTATTTAGGGTTGACCTGAGTCAACTTTCAGAATCTTTCTGAACCCCCTGTTATTCAAAGTGTTTTTTTTCACAACAGGAGGGTGCATGTGTGCAGTGTGCACCCAACACCAGATTCACAAACAAAGCAGATGAATTACGATTGGTAGATTAGCTATAGCTTTTCCCGGTAGCATACTGTCAGTGCGAGCTAGAGCTGGGAGGCCAACACGCGATGCTTGGTCCGGAGGAAAAAAGCCCAGTGCCGCACCTGAATCAGCACAAGGAAGATACAGAAAAGACAATGCATACATCAGAGTACCCTAAGAAAGACTTTTGAGTCGACTCAGAAGTCCACTCAAAAGTAAAAAAGTCACCTTTTGACTTAGAAGTCACCCTAAGAATGTTACTTACCCTACTATCTCCTGATGGAGTCACAAAAGTCATTTCGCTTGGTTGCTAGAGCTGAGAAAAGGGAGGTGGGGCCGGTGGGGGGGGGCGGTGAAGTGAGGTGCTTACCTGGCCGGCGCCTGTTCTCGTGTCGGTGGTGGACAGCTTGGTTGCAGCAGCCTGCAGCCACGTCAGCCAATCCCGCATGGCGTGCACTGACGTGGCGGGCTGCGATTGGCCAAGGCACACGTCAAGGAGGTAGAGCTTGTGGAGCAGCAGGGGGAGGTCGCATCCGGGGGAGGTGGGCTTGTTGGCGGGATTTGATATGAAGGAGGATATGATCTGATCTGCTGACAGCTGGATGGGCGGCGGAGTGGGAATAACGGCAGGTGACGGTACCTCCCCTTTCTCCTGCGAGAGGGAGGGCAAGAGACAGTGAGTGAGGAAAGGAGAAGGGAAGGTTGGGTTTGGAATGACTTTTCAAGTAAACTCAAAGGCAGGTGACGGTACCTCCCCTTTCTCCTGCAAGAGGGGAGGTGAGAGAGAGACAGAGAAGCGGCGGGTTGATGATGACACGTCAAAATTTGAGATGACAGAAGTGTGCGTTGAGCTTTGAGGCATCTCAAAACTGAGAGGGGGAGTCAGGGAAGGCGGAAAGGAGGTTGAGAGGACGAGCAGTAGAGGACTAGCGGGAGTGGCCCCTCTGAATAGATTTACCATCAGCATCACTTCTTGGAGTCGTGACTCACCATGAGGTGCAGCATGACGGCAGCACAGCGGAGGCGGAAGCGAGAGCAAGCAGGCGAGGCATAAGGGAGGGCGAGGATGAGCGGGAGAGGTGCCTTTGAATACAATCACCGTCAGAGGCACTCTGTTATTGTGCAACTCACCATGAGGTGCAGCATGAGCGCAGCACAGCGGAGGCGGAAGCGGGAGCAAGCAAGCAGGCGAGGCATAAGGGAGGGCGAGGACGAGAGGGAGAGGTACCTTTGAAAACACACTCACCATCAGCATCACTTGGTGATTGAACAGCTCACCATGAGGTGCAGCATGAGTGCAGCACAACGGAGGCGGAAGCGGGAGCAGGCAGGCGAGGCAGCGGGGAGGGCGAGGACGAGCGGGAGCGCTGCCAGCCACCAGTGCTTGCCAGGTGGCGGAGTGTGATTGGTGGACGGTGCCACATGGGAGACAACGTCGGGTGAAGGTGGTGTGGTCTGCAGGGAGATTGGGTCAGCTGCCATGGCCCTGGAGTGAGAGAGCGACGTATGGGAAGTAGGAGGAAGAAGTCTCAAGTCAACTGCAAGACACAAGGTGCCGCCATGCGAAGGAGGGCATGAGAGCCAGTGTTGAGCGAAGGTCGTGTCGTCCGCAAGGAGATTGGATCAGCTGCCATGTTTTTTTTTGAGACGTCTCAAAAGAGAGCCAGTGTTGAGTGAAGGTCGTGTTGTTCGCACGGAGATTGGATCAGCTGCCATGGCCCTGGAGTGAGAGAGGGTGAGAGAGAGGGGGAGAGAGGGATAGAGAGGGTGAGATAGGGAGGGGAAGGGGAAGGGGAGGACGGAAATCAGAGTCGACTGAAAAACACTCAGGTTGGAGGCAAACCAGTGTTGGGAGAAAGCGGGGTGCGTCCCACGATTTCACTTACCACGAGCTTTGCGACGTCTCAAAACTCGATTTCACTCCACACATGCACACTCACCCCACACTCACCCCACACCACCAGAGAAGGAGGTGGGTGAACCGACTCTCGGCGAGAAACCTCTGACAGTCCTTCTCACTGCTGATACAGGTAGCAGTGTGGCTGCTGATACAGGTAGCAGTGTGGCTGCTGATACAGGTAGCAGTGTGGCTGCTGATACAGGTAGCAGTGTGGCTGCTGATGCTGTTTGTGGCAAAGGCAGTGAGGACTCTGAGTGCCGCAGTGTGCAGTGGCAGCAGGTGGGAGACCAACCACCCACAGGAGGAGAAACGCACCCTTTCATTCAGCATGAGCACGCAGCACTCACCAGAGAAGGCGGTGAGAAAACTTTTGAGGCTCCTCAAAAGCAGAAACCCACCCGTTCATTCGGCACGCAGCACTCACGCGAGAAGGCGGTGAGAAAAATTATGAGGCGCCTCAAAAGCAGAAACCTACCCATTCATTCGGCACGCAGCACTCACCAGAGAAGGCGGTGTGGAAACTGCTCCTTGGAAAAAAACCCCAGACAACCAGTTTCACTGCTGCTGCAGGTGGCGATGGCAGTGAGGGTTCTGATCTGAGCGCTGCAGTGTGCAGCGGCAGCAGGTGGGAGTGGTCCGCCAGGAGGTGAAGCACGTGCAGGGAGAGCAGAGGCAGTTGGGTCTGGGGCAGTACAAAGCACAGAGCACTCACCAGAGCAGGCGATGGGCGAAGCGGTCGTCGGTGAGAAACCCTGGAGAGTCCTCCTGACTGCTGCTGCAGGTGGCGATGGCAGTGAGCGCTCTGAGCGCTGCAGTGTGCAGTGGCAGCAGGTGGGAGTGGTCTGCTAGTAGGTGCAGCACGTGCAGGAAGAGCAGCGCTAGGTGGGGCTGGGGCAGTAACGAGGGGTGATTTGTAGGCGAAACTGACTGGCTGATGCATAGTGCAGCGATGGTTTTCAGGAGGAGGTCCGTTTTGCGAAGCCGTGTTGATACCACTTCTTGGATGGACGTTCCAGGTCTTGCGGGTTCTTGAGCCGTCTCAGGAGGGGGTTGACTCGATGCCACGGCTTGAATGCACGCGGAGGGTATTGTGGAGGGTATTGTGGAGGGTATTGTTGTGGAGAGCAAGGGCTTTAAGGATGTCGGGGGACTAGGACGTGCCGTGCTGTCAACAGCTCGAGCAGCAGCGGCGGCGGCGGCGGCGGCGGCGACGGCGGCGGCGACGGCGGCGGCGGCGGCGGCGGCAGAAGGTGGTGAGTGTGGGTTAGGCGTGTGCGCACTGTATTCCATGGCCATTTGATCTCTCCAGAGGAGAGATGGGGAGAATCCAACAGCCAGCAGAGCTGCTGCCACGTCAGCGTACCCCGGGAGCCAAACAGGAACCAGCGGAGGCAGCAGGGAGGCGGAGTGCGAGGAGGAGGGAGGGGGGGTGAAGGGGAGGTGGAGCGAGGAGGAGGCAGAGGGGAAGGGGGTGTGGGAAGAGCCGATGACAGGGAGGGAGGGAGGGGAGATGCCCGTGGTTGGGGACAAGAGGAAAGGCCGCACTTGCTGCAACTCTGCTTGCTGCACATCTGCTGCTGACCCTGCACCTTCGGTTGCTGCTGCTGCTGCTGCTGCTGCTGCTGGTGCTTGTGCTCCTGCCCCTGCTTCTGATGCTGATGGCGATGGGGCGAGAGCAAAGTCGCAGAGCAGGGAGCAGGCTGCCGTGTCGACTTGATCGCTTCTGGATACCACCACTGGGCAAGGAAGGGGATGGGAAGAAGGAAGGGGTCAAGGCTGTTACTGAGTCATCTGAAAAGTGACCCTGCTTCTGATGCTGGTCGCGATGGTGGTCACATGGGCAAACTTTCACACATCGGCAAGCAAGGAGTATGTATTCGCTCAGGAGCAAGAGGCATGATCATTAGGCCCGACCCGACCCGACCCGACCCGACTTGGGCGGGCCAGCCGGGTTCCGGGTCGGGTCAGGTCGGGTCGGAACTTCAAAAAATCCTGGCCCGACCCGGGTATCGGGTGCCGGGTCAGGCGTGACCCGCCCCCGGGTCGGGTCGGGTAGGGGCCGGGTCGGGTCGGGTCGGGCCAGGACCCCATATGCAGGGTAAGAGGTTCCTAAGTTGGAAAAAACGCTAGTTTCAAGTTGCGTATTGAGTTTATACGCATCTAGAATTCGTACGCTGCGGATTTTTCTAAAATTCGCCAAATTTGGCTCGGGCTGACCGGAAAAAAAAAATCAGATGAGTTCGCGATCTGGCGAACTCAAATTTGAGTCTAGAAATTCAGATCTGAGTTCGCGCGTTGCTAAAGCAACTTCAGATCTGAATTTCGAGATTGTTGGTGGATCATTCCCTCTTATCCACCGCTCACAACCCACCTTCACCCCATCCAATTTGTTGCCAACTTCTACCAGACTCACTCAATGTCAGGCCGCTTTTCCCTTCAATAATCTTTGCGTTCGATTTCTTCCTCTTCACTTTGACGATGACCTACTACAGCAGCAGTTAGGTAATGGATTACTACAGCAGCTCCGGTCTAGGGTTTAGACATTGACTTCGCGATCTGCTTTAGTGCAACTTGTCGAGGGAATGTCAATGTCGAGGGAACAAACAAACCCTAGACATTGACTTCGCGATCTGCTTTAGTGCAACTTGTCGAGGGAGGAAAAGTCGGGTTGGGCCAAATACTCGACCCGACTTAGGGCGCGGTACCCGAAACCGGGTCGGGTACGACTTCGGGTCTAAATCTGACCCGACCCGACCCGACCCGGTTTCGGGTGTCGGGTCGACCCGACCCGACCGGGTAACCCGACCCGACCCGGCCGGGTCAGCGCTTCAAAATGCCTGACCCGACCCGGGACCCGACCCGCCGGGGCAGGATGATCATGCCTAGGTATTTACTCACTCTCTGCAAAGACTCGCCTCAGGAGCGCCCCACTGACTCTTGAACAGGCAGACAGCTCCCCCCGCTCATCCTTCTTCCCCCCCTTCGCCGCTTCAGCTCCCTCCCCTTTCGTCCCCTTCTTCCCTCGCCCCTCCTCCTCTCCATCCCCCCTCTTTCCTTCTGTGACTCTTTTCAACTGTTGCACGCTTTTCGCTCGTAGCAAAGTCGGCAGAAGGCCAGAAGCGAGGAGGGGTGAGAACTTCTTTGGGGGAAGGAGAGCGAGGTCGGCTCCAAGAGGCACAGCAGGATCCAATCTGGGTACTGGTGCCGCTGTTGCCAGCTCTGCGACTGGTGCTGCTGCTGTCTGTTCTTCTGGAGCTCCTGCTCCTGCTGCCTGTTCTGCTGCTCCTGCTGCTGCCTCTTGTGTCTCTGCCAGGCCCCCAGCCCCTGCTGCTGTCGCTGTGCCTGTGCCTGTGCCAGGCTCACATTGCTCTTGGAATCTAAGAAGATAGCGAAGGTTCACGTGACCAGTGAGCACCTGTTAGTGGAGGGGTTAAGAAGAGGCACGAAGGGAGATACGAGTATGTGATGCTCCTACGGCTAAAATGCTGCTGTGCCTGTGCCTGTGCCTGTGCCTGTGCCTGTGCCAGTGCCTGGCTCACACAGGTCTAGGAATCTGCGAAGATAGCGAGGGTTCACGTGACCAGTGAGCACCTCTTAGTGGAGGGGTTAAGAAGAGGCATGAAGGGAGGTATGCAGGGATTTACTGGAATACTGAGGGGTATGTAGGAGCATGAGAAGCATCGTAATGTAAACAAGGAGGCATGGTGATCAGACCTCCTTGCTTACCCTCTGATTCATTTGCGCACACCCTCATGATCAAGCCACACCCTCGCATACCCTAGAATCCGCGCATACCCTCAAGATCCTCACATACACCATTATCTAAGTTTTACAGGAGGTTTTTACTGTCTTTCCTTTGCTTAAAGCCTGACTAAGTTTGCTGCTCGCTGAGAATATGTTACAAGATCCTCACATACCCTGGGCCTGGGGTTCATGCACACAAGCGACTTTAGTCGACTCAAGATCCTCCCATACCCTGGGGGTCATGCACACAAGCACTGTAGCTGACTTCTGAGACGTCTCAAATGATCCTCACATACCCTGGAGTTCATGCACACAAGCACTGTAGCTGACTTCTGAGACGTCTCAAATGATCCTCACATACCCTGGAGTTCATCCACACAAGCACTGTAGCTGACTTCTGAGACGTCTCAAATGATCCTCACATACCCTGGAGTTCATGCACACAAGCACTGTAGCTGACTTCTGAGACGTCTCAAATGATCCTCACATACCCTGGAGTTCATCCACACAAGCACTGTAGCTGACTTCTGAGACGTCTCAAATGATCCTCACATACCCTGGAGTTCATCCACACAAGCACTGTAGCTGACTTCTGAGACGTCTCAAATGATCCTCACATACCCTGGAGTTCATGCACACAAGCACTGTAGCTGACTTCTGAGACGTCTCAAATGATCCTCACATACCCTGGAGTTCATCCACACAAGCACTGTAGCTGACTTCTGAGACGTCTCAAATGATCCTCACATACCCTGGAGTTCATGCACACAAGCACTGTAGCTGACTTCTGAGACGTCTCAAATGATCCTCACATACCCTGGAGTTCATCCACACAAGCACTGTAGCTGACTTCTGAGACGTCTCAAATGATCCTCACATACCCTGGAGTTCATCCACACAAGCACTGTAGCTGACTTCTGAGACGTCTCAAATGATCCTCACATACCCTGGACTTCATGCACACAAGCACTGTAGCTGACTTCTGAGACGTCTCAAATGATCCTCACATACCCTGGAGTTCATCCACACAAGCACTGTAGCTGACTTCTGAGACGTCTCAAATGATCCTCACATACCCTGGAGTTCATCCACACAAGCACTGTAGCTGACTTCTGAGACGTCTCAAATGATCCTCACATACCCTGGAGTTCATGCACACAAGCACTGTAGCTGACTTCTGAGACGTCTCAAATGATCCTCACATACCCTGGAGTTCATCCACACAAGCACTGTAGCTGACTTCTGAGACGTCTCAAATGATCCTCACATACCCTGGAGTTCATCCACACAAGCACTGTAGCTGACTTCTGAGACGTCTCAAATGATCCTCACATACCCTGGAGTTCATGCACACAAGCACTGTAGCTGACTTCTGAGACGTCTCAAATGATCCTCACATACCCTGGAGTTCATCCACACAAGCACTGTAGCTGACTTCTGAGACGTCTCAAATGATCCTCACATACCCTGGAGTTCATCCACACAAGCACTGTAGCTGACTTCTGAGACGTCTCAAATGATCCTCACATACCCTGGAGTTCATCCACAGAAGCACTGTAGCTGACTTCTGAGACGTCTCAAATGATCCTCACATACCCTGGAGTTCATCCACACAAGCACTGTAGCTGACTTCTGAGACGTCTCAAATGATCCTCACATACCCTGGAGTTCATGCACACAAGCACTGTAGCTGACTTCTGAGACGTCTCAAATGATCCTCACATACCCTGGAGTTCATCCACACAAGCACTGTAGCTGACTTCTGAGACGTCTCAAATGATCCTCACATACCCTGGAGTTCATCCACACAAGCACTGTAGCTGACTTCTGAGACGTCTCAAATGATCCTCACATACCCTGGAGTTCATCCACACAAGCACTGTAGCTGACTTCTGAGACGTCTCAAATGATCCTCACATACCCTGGAGTTCATCCACACAAGCACTGTAGCTGACTTCTGAGACGTCTCAAATGATCCTCACATACCCTGGAGTTCATGCACACAAGCACTGTAGCTGACTTCTGAGACGTCTCAAATGATCCTCACATACCCTGGAGTTCATCCACACAAGCACTGTAGCTGACTTCTGAGACGTCTCAAATGATCCTCACATACCCTGGAGTTCATCCACACAAGCACTGTAGCTGACTTCTGAGACGTCTCAAATGATCCTCACATACCCTGGAGTTCATCCACACAAGCACTGTAGCTGACTTCTGAGACGTCTCAAATGATCCTCACATACCCTGGAGTTCATCCACACAAGCACTGTAGCTGACTTCTGAGACGTCTCAAATGATCCTCACATACCCTGGAGTTCATCCACACAAGCACTGTAGCTGACTTCTGAGACGTCTCAAATGATCCTCACATACCCTGGAGTTCATCCACACAAGCACTGTAGCTGACTTCTGAGACGTCTCAAATGATCCTCACATACCCTGGAGTTCATCCACACAAGCACTGTAGCTGACTTCTGAGACGTCTCAAATGATCCTCACATACCCTGGAGTTCATCCACACAAGCACTGTAGCTGACTTCTGAGACGTCTCAAATGATCCTCACATACCCTGGAGTTCATCCACACAAGCACTGTAGCTGACTTCTGAGACGTCTCAAATGATCCTCACATACCCTGGAGTTCATCCACACAAGCACTGTAGCTGACTTCTGAGACGTCTCAAATGATCCTCACATACCCTGGAGTTCATCCACACAAGCACTGTAGCTGACTTCTGAGACGTCTCAAATGATCCTCACATACCCTGGAGTTCATCCACACAAGCACTGTAGCTGACTTCTGAGACGTCTCAAATGATCCTCACATACCCTGGAGTTCATCCACACAAGCACTGTAGCTGACTTCTGAGACGTCTCAAATGATCCTCACATACCCTGGAGTTCATCCACACAAGCACTGTAGCTGACTTCTGAGACGTCTCAAAAGCACCTCACATACCCTGGAGTTCATGCACACAAGCACTGTAGCTGACTTCTGAGACGTCTCAAATGATCCTCACATACCCTGGAGTTCATCCACACAAGCACTGTAGCTGACTTCTGAGACGTCTCAAATGATCCTCACATACCCTGGACTTCATGCACACAAGCACTGTAGCTGACTTCTGAGACGTCTCAAATGATCCTCACATACCCTGGAGTTCATTCATCCACACAAGCACTGTAGCTGACTTCTGAGACGTCTCAAATGATCCTCACATACCCTGGAGTTCATGCACACAAGCACTGTAGCTGACTTCTGAGACGTCTCAAATGCACCTCACATACCCTGGACTTCATGCACACAAGCACTGTAGCTGACTTCTGAGACGTCTCAAATGATCCTCACATACCCTGGAGTTCAATCACACAAGCACTGTAGCTGACTTCTGAGACGTCTCAAATGATCCTCACATACCCTGGAGTTCATCCACACAAGCACTGTAGCTGACTTCTGAGACGTCTCAAATGATCCTCACATACCCTGGACTTCATGCACACAAGCACTGTAGCTGACTTCTGAGACGTCTCAAATGATCCTCACATACCCTGGAGTTCATCCACACAAGCACTGTAGCTGACTTCTGAGACGTCTCAAATGATCCTCACATACCCTGGAGTTCATCCACACAAGCACTGTAGCTGACTTCTGAGACGTCTCAAATGATCCTCACATACCCTGGACTTCATGCACACAAGCACTGTAGCTGACTTCTGAGACGTCTCAAATGATCCTCACATACCCTGGAGTTCATCCACACAAGCACTGTAGCTGACTTCTGAGACGTCTCAAATGATCCTCACATACCCTGGAGTTCATGCACACAAGCACTGTAGCTGCGGATGACACGGAAGGGGACGGAATGACACAAAACAACTCCATGGGATTCACAAACATCGTAGTCAAGTCTCGGTGCCACATACCCTGGGATTCACGCACACTGAGGTGGTTTTTGAGGCACCTCAAAAACCATCGTAGTCAAGTCTCGGTGCCACATACCCTGGGATTCACGCACACAAGCACTGTTGCAGCAGAGGAGGCGGACGAGGACGGAACTGCAGGAAGCAGCTCTTCGCCCTCTACTCCTCTTCCTTCTCCTTCTTCTCCTTCTTTCTCCCCTCCAGCACCAGCAGCAGCACCAGCAGCGGAAGCAGCAGCAGCGGTTGAGGAGGCATGGTGGAGAGCAATCAGATGGTCACGGAGAGGCAAGCCATGAGCTTCCACCAGCTGAGAGGGGAGGGCACACGGCAAGGAGCACACAGCAGGGAAGAGAGAGAAACTCAGATAAGGTGAGCAGCACACAGCAGTAACAGCAGCGGTCGAGGAGGCATGGTGGAGAGCAATTAGATAGTCACGGAGAGGCGAGGCATGTGCTTCCACCAGATGAGGGGTGGGGGGAGGGCACGGGTGAAGGGGGACAGGGCGGGGCAAGGGGTAACGGGGAGGGGACAGGGCGACCAGCACAGAGGCAGCAGCAGCGGTCGAGGAGGAGGCATGATGGAGAGCAATTAAATGGTCACGGAGAGGCATGCCATGCGCTTCCACCAGCTGAAGGAAGGGGGTGCGGCACAGGGCGGGGAGCACACAGCAGGTAAGAGAGAGAAACTCAGTTAAGGTAAGCAGCACGCAGCAGTAACAACAGCGGTTGAGGAGGCATGGTGGTCACGGAGAGGCGAGGCATGCCATGCCATGCGCCTCCACCAGCTGAAGGAAGAGCATGGGAACGAGGGACAGGGCGGGGGAGTGAGGAGAGGGGGGTTACGGATGGTGATGGGAGTGGGGAGGGAGGGAATACGGCGGACGACAGGTGGGGTGAAGCAAGGGGGGTGGCGAGCGCGGTGATGGGGAATGGCGAGGTGGGAGAGGGGGGGGGGTTGAAAGAGGGGTTGTGAATGTGCGTCCCTCTCATGTATCACCACACCACACCACACCACACCACACCACACCACAACACAACACACCACCCACCCACTCATTCCTCCTCCTCATTCCTCCTCATTCCTCCTCCTCATTCCTCCTCCTCATTCCTCCTCCTCATTCCTCCTCCCCATTCCTCCCCTCTCCTCACCACTTGAAGGGAAGGGATAACTCTCATGCACCCCAACCCCATCCCTGCCTCCTTACCTGCTGACAGCTGTCAGCTGCCGTCTGAACTTCCTTCAACGCCGCATGCAACACTTTGAGTGTGCTCCTCCCCTCACTCCTCTTCACACATCACCACCGCACCACACCACTCCCCCCTGCCTCCTTACCTGCTGGCAGCTATCCACTGCCGTCTGAACTTCCTTCAACGCCGCATGCAGCGCCCTGTGCTCCTCGTCCCCCTCACTATCCCCCTCACCAGTTGACCATAACAAATCACTCCAACCTCACCGCACCACCCCCTTACCTGCTGACAGCTGTCAACGGCCGTCTGAACTTCCTTCAAAGCCGCATGCAGCGCCCTGTGCTCCTCGTCCCCCTCACTATCCCCCTCATCCCCCTCCCCCGCCTCCACCTTCCACGCCTCCCCCTTCTCCTCCTCCTTGTGCCCCCTCCCCTCCATTCTCGTTCCTCCAAACCCACCCAACCACTCCATCCCCTCCTCCTCCTCCTCCTCCTCCTCCTCCTCCTCCTCCTCCTCACTCATCTCCTCTCTTTTCTCCTCCTCTTCTCTCCTCCCCTCCACTTTTTCTGCCTCCTCTTCCTCTCCCCCCATCTCCTTTCCCTCTCCCACCTTCTCCTCCTCCCCCTCACCCCCGGACCTGCCTCTTCTTCTCCCTGTGCGTCCCCATTTCTCTTTCACTTCCTCATTCTCCCCCTTCTCCCCCTCGGAACCACCACCACCACCAGTCACCGTGTCATCTGCCCCGTCTCCATCTCCCCCTAAAATTGCACCCCTTACAGCGGCACTCCTCCCTCTTCTCCTGCCGCTAATCGTGGTGCCTGCTGTAGCAGAAGCAGCAGCATCCCTTCCCTTCCCTCTTCCTCTCACGCTCCCTCTTCCTCTCCCTCTTCCTCTCCCTCCATCCTCAACCGTCTCCCTCTCCTCCTCGTTACCCCCGTTCTTCCCCTCCAGTTTTCTCTTCCTTCCCTTCTCCCCGCCTTCTCCTCCCCCCTCCACTTCCCCCTCTTCTCCCCCACCCCCAGCCTCCCCCCTCTTTTTCTCCTCTTCCTCTGCTTTCCTAGCAGCAGCAGCTGCAGCCCATTTCGCTTTAAGCTCCTTCGCTTCAAGGGACTCGCGCACCAGAAAATCCAGATCGTATTTGCGACTGAGTGGAAGGGAGTGGGGTGAGCAAGAGAGAAGAATGGACTATTGAGTCGACTCAAAACTGACTTCACAGTCGACTCAAAACTGACTTCACAGTCGACTCAAAACTGACTTCACAGTCGACTCAAAACTGACTTCACAGTCGACTCAAAACTGACTTCACAGTCGACTCAAAACTGACTTCACAGTCGACTCAAAACTGACTTCACAGTCGACTCAAAACTGACTTCACAGTCGACTCAAAACTGACTTCACAGTCGACTCAAAACTGACTTCACAGTCGACTCAAAACTGACTTCACAGTCGACTCAAAACTGACTTCACAGTCGACTCAAAACTGACTTCACAGTCGACTCAAAACTGACTTCACAGTCGACTCAAAACTGACTTCACAGTCGACTCAAAACTGACTTCACAGTCGACTCAAAACTGACTTCACAGTCGACTCAAAACTGACTTCACAGTCGACTCAAAAGTACGACTGACTGGAAGGGAGTGGGGTGAGAAAGGAGAGGAGAATGAAGGGACGGACTGAGAAACAGCAACAGCAGCACTTCGCTGAAATTTTAGCTGCTCCAGATTCTATTATACACCGATGTGGAAATGGAAGAGGAAGAAGACGAAGAATAAGAAGAAGAAAAGGGGGTGAGCGAGAGGCTCTATCAATTACTAGGTGAAACCGGTGTAAAGCCAACCCTCAATGCTGCTACGCAGATTGACGCATCCGAACCTAAGAGCTTCGGGGCACCCGGACCTGCGAGCCTTGGGAGCGACCGTGGACCCGTCGCCTGCGTCAGACTCGCCGCCTCGCTTGCCTCTCGCGCGACCACGCCCGCGACCCCCGCGAGTCCCACGACCCCCCCCCCGAGCGTCCATGTTTGTTTCTGGGACGCGGTTGTCGCCTGGCCGTCGCCTGATCGTCGCCTGGTTGTCGTCTCGTCGCCGCCTGGTCGTCGCCTGGTCGTTGCCTGGCCGTTGACGGGTGGATTTGCGAGTGATAGCCGAGTGCTAATCGCTAAGCTTAGAATGCGGCGTTACCTAATCTTACTAGGCTCAGCTATGGCTTGGCTGCAAGGCTGACTGGGGTGGTGAGAATAATTTCGCGCTGTACTCTTCAAAACGTGCGTCGCTATTGCGCAAGAAACAAAAAGTCGAAGTGAAGTTCTTTGTAGATCTGAGAAATATCTGAGCAGGAAAGAAGGCCAAAACAGACTCCTTTGGCTTTCCATACAGCGTCGCTTTTTTGTGACTAGAGCTCTATATACGAACAGTTCCTCCCGTTTCTCTCATTGAAGCACATTATCCTTTTTATACAATCGTATCTACATGGCTCAATCAAACCCACAAGAGCCAACTCCTTATACAAGAACACCCCCCAGCCCGCAGCTTTTTCCCTTAGATTCCGGAGTTTGCTCGTTATCCTCCCTTCCCCCCACCAGCTTTTTATTCTCAAAGAGGCTGGTCCGTCCTACCGCCAATGTATGCGGAGCCCATTCGTTGTTTCCCAGCTTCCGTGATCTGAAGCCGTTGCTCTAAAAGCGTATTGATATCCCCTCTGTGTTTCGCTAGTGTTCGATTGGTTACCCGACCAGTGCAAACTGTGACGCAATCTGCAACAAAAAATCCACAAATTCGGGACTCGAAAAATGTCGTCGGAAATGTCGCCGCCCAATAAGAAGCGTACGTCGGAGCGGCAAATCACGAAGGACGATTTTCAGGAAGACGACAACGAGGAGCCATCAGGATCAAACCCCTGGGCGGGAGGGTTTCAGAAAGCTACTAACGAGGTAATGGCGACTCGACGCATCGTTAAAGCGCGCCGGCCTGCAGGAGGCGCAACCGCGTCTCCCGCGCCCGCCGCTCCTACCGCCGCTGAGCCGCCGGAAAAACCGGCTCCGGCGGCTGCTGACGTGGCAGGCGGGTCCGACGTGGCGGAAGCGAAGGACCAGGCGGAGGAGGTGGGGACGGAGGAGGTGAGTTCTGGCGGCAAGCGCGCGAAGAAGGCGCGATCCGACAGCGCGGAGGAGGAGAAGGCGGCGGAAGCTTCTGCGAAGGAGGGGGACCAGGCGGGAGATAAGAAAACGGAAGACGGTAAGGTTAGCGAAGACGCCACAAAAGAGGATACGGCAGCCGCGGAGAAAGAAGGATCGGGGGAAAGCGACAAGCAGGAGGCGAAGGCGGAGGGAGCGAATGGCGCGGGAGCCGCGGCGGGTGCGGCGGCAAGCCCATCTGGATTCGTGGGTTTCGCCAAGGTGGCTCCGGGGTTCAATCCTTTCCTCTCCTCCACCACCGCCGCCTCTTCCGGAGGAGGTTTCGCCTCGTTCTCCTCTTCCGCCTTCGCTTCCCCCTTTGCCGCTTCCGCCTCGTCCGGATCTTCCGCGTTCTCCTTTACCTTCCCCGCCACCACCTCCGCATCCCCCGCCGCCGGTTCCGCCGCCGCAACCGGCGGCGGGTCGTCGATCTTCCCCGCCGTTTCGAGCATTTTCGGGTCGGGGGCGACAGCCAATGGGAGCAGCGCAAGCGGCGCGATTGGCGCGACTCCGGGCCTGGGTATCGGGTTTGGCAGCAGCAGCGGGGCTGGCAGCGGCGCGCCAGCTGTCATGCTGTCGGCGGTCCACGTGGCGACAGGGGAGGAGAAGGAGCGCGCGGTTTTCGCGGCGGATGCGACGCTGTTCGAATTCGGAGAGGGGGGGAAGTGGAAGGAGCGGGGGAAGGGGGAAGTTCGGCTAAACGTGCAGGCGGAAGAGGAGGGGGAGGGGGAGGGGGAGGAGAAGGGGGATGAGGGGAAGGAGGAGAAGGAAGAAAAGGAAGGGACTGAGACAACGGAGAAGGAAGGGGAGGAGAAGAAGGGAGGAGAGAAAGAGGATAAGGAGGAGGAGAAGAAAGAGGAGACGGATGGGAAAGAGGGAGAGAAGGAAGAGAAGGACACGTCAGCAGAAAAGGCCAAAACAGAGAAGCGGCCAGCTCGGCTGGTCATGCGAGCGAAGGGCAACTTCCGTCTTCTTCTGAACGCGAATCTTTTCCCGGATATGAAAGTCACCCGGATGGATGGGCGGGGAATTTCGTTTGCTTGTGTGAACAGTACCGGTGAGGAGAAGGAGAAGGAGAAGGAGAAAGAGAAAGAGAAGGAGAAGGAAGGGGGTGGTGCAGCAGCAGCAGTTGGTTTGACGATGCTGGCGCTTCGTTTTAAGGACGTGGCTCATACAGAGGAGCTGCTGTCGCTCATTAACGAGTACAAGGGCGGCAAGGGGAAGGATGCTTCCGAGAAAGGTACTGATGCTGCAGAGGCAAAGAAGGAGGCGAAGGAGGATGGGAAGGAGGAGGAGGCAGCACAAGATAAGGAAGGGAAAGAGGATGAGGAGACAGGGAAGAAAGCTGAGGAGGAGAAGAAAGAGGATGGGGATAAGAAGGAGGATGGGGATAAGAAGGAGGAGGGGAAGCAAGAGGAGAAGGCGAGTGCGGAGTGAGCAGCAAGGGGAGTGGATTGTGAGAAGGATGATTGAGGTGAGTAAAGCCTTTTCCCTAGCAACGTGTGCTGAAAGTTGTATTTGTTAGGGGGGGGGTGTGCGAGGGCATGCTCTCAAAATGCATGTTCGAGGCATTACCACACACTCCCTGCCATGCACTCCCCACCACACACTCCCTGCCATACACTCCCCACCACACACTCCCTGCCACACGCTCCCTACCATGCACACCCCACCACACAGCTCCCACAAATGCAGGTGCAGTCCCCATGCCTTCGTACTGCGTGCCGAGTCACTGCTCTTCACATGCTTGCTGCGCCGAGTCATTTGGAGCCGGGAAGGAAGCAGAGAAGGCCTTCTCATCTGTCCCCGCCCGCTTCCTTTCGTCGTCTTCTTCCTCAAGTTCCAAGTCTGCATTTCCTGCGTTATTGGACATGGATGGCCTGTCCAAATTCTTGCATTCTTTTTGTCAATTCCGCTACTGTACCAAGCATGGTTGTGTTGTGCTCCAGCCGAACTCTGACGGTCCCGTAATCGGAAACATTTGCGGTTGCTTCAACTAGGATACTGTACTTGTGGTGTAGATTGCTGGTGGGTGTCTCTTATGTAATGTCACGTGCGTGAAATTGCCCTGGGCTTATTATGTAGGCCTCAAAGGATACAATTCAGTTTACCATCCATTCCTGCACATGTTTTGTCATGGTCATGCAATACATGCCGCATCCTTCGCATGCCATTTGCACAATAGATGAAGTGCTTAGTACTACCGTGTGTGGCAGAATGCAGAAGGTGCTCCTAGGTATGCTGAAAGGAGGTGCATAGGTGAGTCCATGAGTGGGTTGATGGATTTGTTTTGTTGAAGGGAGACAGGTTTGCGAGATACAGTAAATCATTTCTCTGTAACGCCTGCCTGCCACTGCAACGGGTTGGTTGGTGGAGATCAACATTTCACTGCCATAAGCAGAACCCCGTAGTGGCAATACCGGTAGGGTTGCTGGAGAGGTGGGTGGGTGTCTGATGGTTCAATAAGGTATTTTGAGACGTCTCAGAACAAAGCCATCAACTGGGCCCACCACTGCTGCGAATAATCCGCGTGAGATGAGTCGATTTTTTAGTCGACTCAAAAATTGACGCATCTCACGCGGAACAATGCCATCAACAGGGCCCACCACTGCTGCGAATAAACTTAAGTATGGAATGGAACAACATTTTGTTTCAGTGCCATTTGCAGAACCCAAGGCTGACGTGGCAGGATGCAATTGGTCTGTTGAAAAGAGCTGGGTCTGTGAGTGGGTTGACCAATGCCGCAAATAGGGCCACTCCCGCAACAAATGCTGAGCATATCACTGAAAACAGTAGGGGGAGGTTGTGATAAAAAGGGGGTTGTGATAGAGATGGGGTTGTGACAGAGAGAAGGTTGGCCGAGGTCGCAAACAGGGCCACTCTCGCAACAAACGCTGCGAATATCACTGCAAACGATACGAGTTGTGTTGTGATAAGAAGGGAGGTTTATTACAACGTGGACTGCTTGTTGATAACGTGCAATGAATGTTGCACATATTGGTGCAAACAGCAGGACAAGGGCTGTTGTGAACGGGGTTGATAACAACAAGACAAGAACAACTCCTGCATTGAATACTGGGTATATTAGTGCAAGGTGACACCAACAAGGTGCTATCGAATTTGTGCTGGTGTGTCAGAGCTGCTTGGAAATCGGGGACCCCCAAGGTGTTAGGGCATGTTCCTACGCTCTTATTAGGCAGACCTCTTGTCAGGCTTGCATGTGTTTCAGGCCCGCTAAGGTTTTCAGGTGTAGGGAAATTTCAATGTGTTGACGTGGACCTGATAAGAGTGCCGTGTTCAATGTGTCGTGACGCGAGCCTGATAAGAGGTTGGCCTGATAAGAGGTTGGCCTGATAAGAGGTTGGCCTGATAAGAGGTTGGCCTGATAAAGGGCCGTAGGAACATGCCCTTACGAAAAGCGTGAGCTGCCACTGACGCCCACAGGTGTGGTGTTGGCTTACCTACCATAATTTAGGGTGTGCCTCGCCCTAGAAATACCGTATCTGTGCCGGTGTGTAAGGGCTGCTTGAAAATCCGGGACCCCCATGGCATTGCAGAACGCGTGAGCTGCCACTGACGCCCACAGACTGCCCTTGTGGTGTTGGCTTACCTACCATACTAGCATTGTTTCTCTGTGGAAAGCTCACTGTATCTGTGCCGGTGTGTCAATGCTCCTTGGAAATCCGGCACCCCCATGGCAGTTCACTGGGCCACGGCACCCCCGTGCCTCACTGGACCTACCCTACCTGTGCCGCCTCTATCGACTCACCGTATCTGTGCCGGTGTGTCAATGCTCCTTGGAAATCAGGCACCCCCATGGCATTGCAGAAGGCGTGAGCTGCCACTGACGCCCACAGACTGCCCGTTCTCAGAACGGTGAAAGCAGCAAGGCAGCCAAACACCCACGTGAAGGCCATCTGGAACCCTGAGAGGCAGGGAAGGGAAGGGATGGGAAGGGAGCAAGGGAGTGGAGAGAGTGAGAAGAGAGAAAAGGTGTGAGCTGCCACTGACGCCCACAGACTGCCGGTTCTCAGAATGATGAAGGCAGCAAGGCAGCCAAACACCCACGTGAAGGCCATTTGGAACCGTGAACAAAGAGAAGGGGTGGGCAGGGGAGAGAGGGATGGGATGGGATGGGATGGGATGGGGGAGAGGGTGAGAAGTGGGAGATAGTATGAGCTAGAACTCTCAAGAAATGTTACCAGGGATTTGTTTAGAATTCTCAAGAAATCCCTGCATAGTATGAGCTAGAACTGACGCCCACACAGGCTGCCCGTCCTTAGAATGATGAAAGCAGTGAGGCAGCCAAACACCCACGTGAAGGCAATAGAACATACTTTGAGTTGCTTACAACCAGGTTGGAATAAGCGTGCGTGCAAAGCAGATGAGCGCGCGGGGAACACACCAACCATGGCAAGAGCTTGGGGAAGGGAGCAGCGATGGTAGTGCATTAGGTTCCGGATGTGATGCCCGTGTGCTGCCATGGGGGGACGAAGGTGAGGGGGAGGGTAGGGATGGAAAGAGACTGGAGCGGGGTAAGGAAGCTATGGCACCCGTGGGAAGGACCCGAGGGAGGGGGGAGCAGCGATGGTAGTGCATTAGGTTCCAGATGTGATCCCCGTGTGCTGCCATGGAAGGGAAGGAGCGGGGGGGGGGGGGGGGGACTGCTTTTGAGTCGACTCAAAAGCATTAGGTTCCAGATGTGATCCCCGTGTGCTGCCATGGAAGGGAAGGAGCGGTGGGGGGGGGGACTGCTTTTGAGTCAACTCAAAAGCATTAGGTTCCAGATGTGATCCCCGTGTGCTGCCATGGAAGGGAAGGAGCGGGGGGGGGGGGGGGGGGACTGCTTTTGAGTCGACTCAAAAGCATTAGGTTCCAGATGTGATCCCCGTGTGCTGCCATGGAAGGGAAGGAGCGGTGGGGGGGGGGACTGCTTTTGAGTCAACTCAAAAGCATTAGGTTCCAGATGTGATCCCCGTGTGCTGCCATGGAAGGGAAGGAGCGGGGGGGGGGGGGGACTGCTTCTGAGTCGACTCAAAAGCATTAGGTTCCAGATGTGATCCCCGTGTGCTGCCATGGAAGGGAAGGAGCGGTGGGGGGGGGGACTGCTTTTGAGTCGACTCAAAAGCATTAGGTTCCGGATGTGATCCCCGTGTGCTGCCATGGAAGAGAAGGAGCGGTGGGGGGGGATGTGGGAAGGGTGAGGATAGCGGAGTGGGGGTTATGAAGCCATGTCTCAGATGACAAGGCAAGGGAGCAGTGATGGTAGTGCATGAGGTTCCAAATGTCATGGCCGTGTGCTGCCATGGGGGAGGTGGGTGTGGGAACAGTGGGGGTTGGGAGGGAAGCAAGGAGCGGCATTTTGGAAGTAGGATCTCATTTCACTAGGAGCACAAGATGAGTAAGGTCCTGACAATTACATTACACAACAAAAAAACAAGAGCACACTTTTGAGTCGACTCAAAAGCAGATTTACTAGGAGGACAAAGATGAGAAAGGCGTTGACAACTGAATTACACAGAACAAAAACACGAGCAGAGACAAAATGTGGTGGAAAGTAGTCGTGAAGAGGATTCTGAGGCATTTCAAAAGTGGTGTGGAGAGCAGAAAAGAGTAGACATTGTATGAAACAGCACCTAGGCTGAAGAAAAGCGGGCAGATGAAAATTGTCGAGGTGACCGAGAAGCCGCCCGCAAGAAGAAGCGGACACAGGGCTGCCCGGAAAACAAACTCCTCACTGAGAGGAGCCTGTGGGGTGGAAGTTACAGTGAAGGAAAGGCAGAACGTGGGGGAATGAGTGAGGGGAGAAGGGAAGATGGCCTGCCACCTCAGCCAGCGCTGGTCAGTGGCCCTCCAGCGCTCCCAGGCGAATGCCCTGCACACCAAGGCCAGGGCGGGGATTGAGGCAGCGCACCCCCAGATGGCAGCGGACCCATGGCCGCTGCACCTAGGGGACATCCTCCACACGCTGGAGGGTTAGTGGGGCACTAAGGGGGGGGAGGGAGGGTCAGAGGGATGGGTTGATGGGTCGGAAGGTATAAGGGAACCACGAGTCAAATTGCATGTCTGTACCCCCTGCTGAATTAATACAAAGGACCATTTGAGAGAAGACAATGGAAGAAGCTTTAGCCACAAAATTCCTCTTTGCCCCCATTCTTCGTATTCTCTCTCCCATGAGGAATTAGTCCACGTCTGCCCCACGATACCTCAACATTTCCACTTCCACTTATCACCTATCACATGTTTCATTCCTCCTTTCCCCCATCACTTGCCTCCTCCGTTGCCCTTGTTCTCACCACCACCAGGTTGCGGGCGTGTAACAGCAGGTCATTCGGAAGCACTGGCAGCAGCAGTGGCTTAGATGCATGTGGAACAGCTCATCAATCAACCACACATCCCCTCTATCTCCAATCCCCTATGCCATGCCATGCCACCCGCATTGCCCCTGTTCTCATCACCACCAGGTTGCGGGCACGGAACAGCAGGTCATTCGGAAGCACCCGCAGAAGCAGCGGCTTAGATGCATGTGGAACAGCAGCAACACCACACGCACCAACCACACGTTCCCCCTTCTCCTTGTTTGAAAACATAGCATATCCCCCCCGCACTGCCCCCTGTTCTCACCACCACCAGGTTGCGGGCGTGGAATAGCAGGCCATCTGGGAGCACTGGCAGCACAAGAGGCTCGGACGCAGGAGCCACTGCAGCGTGGGTGACACATGTTGCCCCTGCTTCACCTGTCACATGCCACCCTCATTTCCTGTTCTTACCACCACCAGGTTGCGGGCGTGGAATAGCAGGCCATCTGGGAGCACTGGCAGCAGCGGCGGCTTATAAGCATGTGGATCAGCAGCAGCAGCAGCAGCACCATCAGAAGCACCATCGGTAGACCCACTAGCTAGAGCGGCGTAATGGTGGTTCCTATGCCTCGCAGAGGCTAGGGCTTGGAGCGAGTTGAATGCAGAGAGAGT